AAACGACTTTTTTGCTTCAGTAATGCCCCAGCTCAGGGGTGCGGGGAAAGCTGTTCAGTAGTCAAACTAGTCGAGATTATCAATCCACAAAACGGTCGATTGACGGACGAGTTGCGGAGGGTCCTGACCCAAGCGAATTTTGAGAGAAATTTGAGCAATTGTTCGAAAAATACAGGACCCCCCCTACAGTAGAATTTTGTCTCCTCAATTTCAGGGGATCCTTATTTTACTTTCGGGTCAAATTAAGAAATCGAAACTCAATGACCGAGCATGGACCTATTGTACTGTACAGCATGGTAGGGAACCGAAGAGCAAATCCCCTGTTTGAAATGAAAGTAATATAAACGGAGGAGGGAAGGACAGCACTGGAGGGTCAGCGGTCGCGTTCCAGTGCCACGATTTTCCAGGTTGTAATGAATGTGTCCAAGAAAAAGAATCATCGGTCAAGCTCCGCAGTTCAACACCACAATCAGAATTATCTTTCCATCACATGTGTATATTATATACGTCCCGGTACCGGTACCAGTACCTCTATATGAGCCTTTTTTTTAAAGTAAAAAAATACTTGACCTTTTCGCAAAAACTGCAAATGCTCATAATTCCATTGCAACCAAAATAAGAACATGAGCTGCCAATCCAATTCTAGTAACAACAATGGTGGTGGCAATTCCGATGAACCACCAAGACGAAATGAAAATAATGGCCGCCGACCTCGACAGTTGCCACCTCCACCACAGCTCCAGGCGTCAGTAATTCTCGATGAATATCCGTCAGTGATTCATGCAGCGCTTGCCATCATCAATGGAACGGCTAGAACGAGGGCGGGGGGGAGCGACGATAGGGAGGAAGAGTCATCTAACAGAAGCAATAGCCAAGGGACCTCACCGGATGCGAAGCAGCCGCAATAACGATTACGCTGCATCATGCTATTGACATGCATACTGTTAGGGGAAATAGAAACATTTTTGGGTGCCGACGAACAACAAAATCAATAGAAGCTAAGACCATACACACAATTGATGTACTGCGCTATGCTATACTAGTGCGTCATGAGGACACTTTAAATTGATTGTTGACAACACGTTCACGCATCTCTAGATGAGCTCGATTTCTTGCTCTGTCTGTTACATTCTAAAAAAGTGAAATGCGTCGAATCATCATTGATCACAATCAATCATTCTCGGAGCTTCTCTAACGTAACCGATTCATCGTTCGCGCCACCTACAGCTTTTAGATCAGAATTTTGGCGTGTGCCACCTGACATACTCCATTTTTATTCATTCGGACCCTAATTATTATATATGGTCCGCGGGATTATAGTACTTCAGCCAGAAAAAAGTGCAAATTTTCCAAAAAACTTTCCAGCTGCTGGTACAAAACAACATGAGCTGTCGTTCCAATTCCAATAACAGCAACAACAATAATGGCGGTGGTAATTTCAGAAACCAAACACAAAGACGAAATAACAGCGGCAGCAATGAGCGCCGACCTCAACAGTTGCCAGTTCCACCTCAGCTTCGGTCATCGGTAAGTCTCGATGAATACCCGTCAGCGATTCATGCGGCGCTTGCCATTGCCAATGGAACGGCTATGATGAGAACGAGAACGGATGGAAGAGACAATGAGGACGATGAGGAGGCAGCCAACAGAAGAAATGGCCAAGGGGCTCCACCTGGCCCAAGGCCGCCGCAATAATGATTACGACGCTGCATGCTGTTTACATGCATACTGTGACTACTACATACATGTAGGAGAAACGAGAAACATTTTGGGGCCGAAAAACAACAAAATCAATAGAAGTTAAGACCATACACACAGCAATATATATAATACTGCATTTCCACTTGAATTGCTGCGCTATGCTAAAATAGTACACAGTGAGGGCATTTGTGAATTCAGTGATGACAACACTTTCATGCATCTGGATCAGCTCCGTTTCTTCATGTTTTCGTTTCGTGCCAGCTGCGACATTATTTGGACCCGAGTTCTGGCTCGAATATTGAATATATGTGTGGCTGGGGAGAATTGGCGTCATACGAACACAGCTGGCCTCAGAATTGTCAGTCGCATATTCGATTGGTTCATTTGGACCCGAATCATATATTTTACTATGCATCGCACTCGTAATTTCAAATTGCCGCCCACCGACAACACTGTGATGGCGCTCCTCTCCACGCGATATTATATTTTTACTGACGTTTCCGTTCGGCCGGCTGTTTCGAAGAGGCATGCGGTTTATCGTTCTGCCGGCTGGAAAGAGAAACATTGGCTTCGGACTACAAACGCACAAATAATTCCAGCTGTTCAGAAAACAACATGAGCTGTAATTCCAATTACAATTACAATAACAATAACAATGGTGGTGGAAATTCCAGCAGCAACCAAACACAAAGGCGAAATAACAGTGGCAATAATGACCGCCGACCTCAACAGTTGCCAATTCCGCCTGAGCTTCAGTCATCAGTAAGACTCGATGAATACCCGTCACCGATTGCGGCGGCGCTTGCCATTGCCAATGGAACGCCTGCTGCGAGAACGAGAACGGATGGAGGAGATAATGGGGACGATGAGGAGGCAGCTAACAGAAGAAATGGTCAAGAGGCTCCACCTGATCCAAGGCCGCCGCAATAACAGACATACTGTTAGGTGAAAGGAGAAACATTTGGGAGCTGGCTCCTGTCATAGAAGAAATCAATGAAAGGACATCCAGATGTAAGACTACTGCGGTTCGAATGAGATGTACAGGTACCCCCGCGGCGCCATTCTAACATAGTAACAATGAGGGCACTGTGAATTGATTGATGACAACATGTTCACACATCTAGCTGAGATTCGTCTCCATAAGCCGTTTCCGTTCCTTCGTGGTCTTACGTTTTCATTGCGAAACAATCATCTGATCATGATCCAGCGAACCGTTCGCTCCTTCGCACTTCCAGTGGTGCATGCCAGCCAGGTGAAGAACTGAAAGAGTTCCGGCGGAAGACAAGTCGATCGAATCAAAAACCGTTCGTTTTTTCAAGAAATCACATTACATCAACACGAAAAAACTGTCTCGGCCTGGTTTTTTCTTCAAAACCCTGCCTTGCATCTACTTCCCAGTGTGTACATCATTCATAGCCTCTTTACTAAGAGTGAAAGCTTGGCGGGGCATTTCGAAGCTTGATCTTTCATTTGCAAAATGCTTCCAAAGTCTATACTTTCTCCACTTCTCGGTCTTGTGCTAACCGGCATGGCGCTGGTCAATCTCTTCCAAGATTTTCTGCAGGTTCAACAAAATCACTGGGACGATTCTTCATTGCTGAATGGTTCAGCAGCCGTTGGTTTCGTTTCCACTGCAACAAATCCCACACGAAACAATGATTTGTTGTCCGTGGTGAGTGATAGAATAACAACAACAACAACAACAACAACAACAATGCTTTCCTTCAAGGATGAGTCGAGACTAGGCAATGGCACCAAGATGTCAATGTACAAAACTAACTATACTTTCGATCGACAAGACGATGCAGCAATGCACCTGGAATCTACTTTTGATGGATTCCATGACTTTTTGGTGGACGGACCAAGGCGGCGGCCTTTTTCGTCTGGGCTCGCCGTCACTGCAGAATTACTAATGCGCCAAGCCAACAGCGGCAGTACCAGCAAAAATTATGATGATGGGGTTTCTTTCTTTCAATCCAAAGGTGCCTATTATGCAGCAGCATGGCTGTCCACCACAGAAACATTCTTGAGCAACACCAAGTTGGATTTGCAAGCCAACAGGAAAAAGTCCGAAAGAGGCTGGAATATGGAAGCAGGCACTTGGGTTGGAATCAAGGGTAGAAAGAATCATAGGACCAATGACATGCTCGACTTTTTTGTTCATCATCTTTCTCGCTACAAAGGACCTTACAGCGTCCGAGGACCGGACCAAGAATCAAACTGGGAAATGTATTTGGAAGGATTGGATGCCATGCAATATACATATGAGGAACGACCATTTAACAATCCAAGCATGGATCGCAATGGTAGAATCCTGGTAATGTGTCCGTATCATGGGACTTCTGATAATCATTCGGGCCAAGATGAGAAGCGCTTGCATTTGAATGTCACGATCAAGGCCTTAGCAAGAGTCTTTCCGAATATTGTCGTGACTGTTTGCGATGACGTCAACTTGAACTATGTTGCTAGCGAAAGTGGTCTCAATGAATACCTGTATGACGTTCTCTTGGTCAAGAATCTAAGCATGGCTCCAATACTGAAGTGCACGCATCTCCCATTTCTATCCAATGTTCAGGTTCGGCGTTTGCTCCAAAAAGGATACTACTCCACAGACCAGTTTGACTGGATCTACTACACGGAATCGGACCAACCTCCACACTTGACCAGTTTGAATGCCTTGCTGAAAGAGACACTTTACAAAAATCGAACCGTGGTCGTACCACACCGAAGTCACCCCATTGCACTGCCGCGAGACTTGAATGTTTCGATGGCTTCCAAACAAACAAAACGGTTTCTTGAGATCAACAGTGCTAAGGTCTTGCATCGAGTCGATGACTTGCGAGAATACAGTTGTTGCTTTCTTGGGAAGAATAAAACGGCATGGGAGGCTCCGGACGTTGAATTGTTTCAGCAGTACAATGGTCATGCTCAAGTCACTGGCGAATGCAATCCATTCCAATTGACTTGCAACATTTGCAAGTTTCGGAATCGGACCAAAGCAGGACCATGCCGTCGTGGTCCCAATAGCATTTCCTAAAAGTAGATAGATACAACCATGATACACTGCACCAGTAGTTTGATCTAAGCAGCTTGAACTTCTCCGTCATCGTCAATGTTTTCACTGTCAGTTTTGGTTGGAGTTTGCGGCTCGTTGCCATCGTCCTTTGGCGGACCAAGACGTTGTAGCAGTTGCCTAAGTTCTTGATGATTTTTCTCTTCCATTTGTTTGATTTCGGCTACAAACCGCTTTCCCATTTCTTCGGTGTGGGCTAGGAAGTGTTCTTCCATTTGAGTAGTTTGGGCTCGGAAGTCTTCTTGCATACGGCCTTCCATCTGCTTCAACTTATATTCCAAGGTTTCCTTCGTTATGGATCGCGAGCAAAACAGCATCTGGCGTATGAACATTGGAAATAACAAGCCAGCAGTGCAAAAACCAAGTACGATTAGAGTCGATGTGAAAAGGTTGACAAGCATCACCCCAACCGCGTCTTTATAATCACGCTCTTCTGGGACAGAAAACCCTTCAAGAAGCGATTCCATTACAGGCTTGTCAAAGTCAAGTTCCAATTCATCAAGATATTTGAAGATGCCAACTTCGCCTTCATCTTCATCCAGACCCACGTCTTCGAAAAATCCAAATCTATATTGCCAGAAGACTCTTGCAGCTTTTGTGGTTGCTTCATCCCAGACTTTGCCGACAATAGCAATGACAACATTGAGCAATACAACCACAATAACAATTCCAAAAACTACATCCAGTACATTAGCATCCACAGCATCAGCAGCTTCATTCCGTCCGCTGACAAAAGAATCAAAAACCGTAAGAAACGACCTCCCAAGAGTCTCATAGCCCTCCAAGCCTTGGTTTTGAACAAAATACATGTAGGCGAATGCAAAGAGCGTGATGCTCGTAACCACAAGAAACGGAATCAGATTCCAGAATATCTGAGCATAAGGTGAAGACAATTGGTGAGTGGAAGCTTGACGGACCACAAGATTGAATTTCTGTCGTTGGCTGCGCTGCTTACCCGGATCACACCGCCGACTAACATGGCAAATGGGTAGAACGTCTTCTTGAGGTATGAAATAAAGGACAGAAATATAAAGCAGCCCGTAGCAATGAGAAGATCCCGTATGCGATGGTCCTCGTCGACAATACTGACATCTTGAATATTCCAAAGTTCAATCACTGACGCAATCACAAGACCAACGGTAACAAGCTCCATCGAATTCCACATGTTTTGAAAATATTGGATAGGCTTCTTCCAGAATTGTCGGAACTGTAATCCTAGAAAGGCTACTGCAACAACCGAGAGTCCAACCAGCAGAGCATCTATTGGTTCGGCAGGCTCGATTAGTTTTGACTTGGATGCACGCACAAAGAGGATCATCCATGCAACCTGAAGGTATAGCTCTATCATCAGGAAGAAAATTACCTTTCGGTTGCAAGACTTTCTGTTTAACCATTGAATCATCGCTGGTTTGTTCAGATTCTCTACCGCCAGATTTCCAAAGGTTCCTGGACTATTGCGGTGCCACCTATCGAATTCTTTGTTTCTCTCCTTGGCATCACCGATTTCAAGCAGGTGCGACAATAGCGGAGCCGCAATACCTTTGACGCCAATAAGACCCTTGTATATGAAAGCATGGTTCGTTTTTTTGATATCTTTGTCAATCAATGGTTGCACGTAAGAAAATACCTGCTGTTGTAGAAACGATGGTAATCGATCGAGCGCATTGATGAATTCGGCTGTTGGTTTTGGTCTTGGTTTTGCTTTGAGTACTACGTTGAGGCACTCCCGTGCGTTCTCCAATTTATCTTTGTGATCATCCAATTTGAAATCAATACCAGGAGAACGAAGGCTGGTAGCCATCCAGTGAAGAGGTAGATTTCCTCCCTCATCTTCAAGGTTAATCGTTTCTCTTGCGGCTGGCGCATCCAAAAGGAACTTGAGAACATCCGGAGCGGTATCACGGAGACAATTTTCCATGGCGTGGTGCATAGGAGTTCTTCCGTTGTTATCCTTGGCAGTAAGACTCTCTGGAAATGCATCTGCAAGAACCTCGACAACATTTGCATTCGTTTCGTTGCCACAAGCCAAGTGTATGGGAAGCATACAATCCTCGTCAGAAATTTCGGCAGCTCCAGTGTCACAAAGGAGACCAACGCTCTTTGCCATGTCATCTGGATTGTCATTTTTTCGATAGAAGTGCAAGTGAAGGGGGGTACAGCCCCGGGTATCTTGAGCAAGCTTGCCTTCCGGGTAAGCCTTGATAAGGATCTCCAGCACAGCGGAGGACACTCCATTTCGACATGCGTAATGCAACGGCAACCATCCAAAAGTAGCGTCAGCAAGACGGGCAACTTCTGGTGCAGCTTCAATTATTTCACTGATTAAATCAGCTCGCGGCTTTCCAAGCTTGCACATGAGATGGAGGGATGTCACACCATTATCTCTCCGAAAGTAGGCAGCCGTAGCACGTTTGTCTTGACCTTTGTTTGCCCCTAGCCATTGCTGTACCTTATCCCACACTGGATCAATGATATTCTCGCGCCTGCTTTTCAATTCCTCTTTGCTCATTTGATCAACTTTATCAGGCGCAATGTCCGCATCGTTTAAAATTTGGAAAAGATCTTCGGGTCCGCTCTGTTTGTTGGCAGGTGTCATCAATCCATTCGTAGCTTCTTTTTGATTTGCCATTATATTCCTTGGCTTTATTATTTCGCTGTCTAGAGAATTTTAAAACTATAGTACCAGTGCAAAACTAGAATTGAAATCAACCTTTCCTTTGGCACGTCTCTAGCATATAATATATATATGAGAAGCAGTAAACGGAGGTTGGTTCTATTTGCAAAAGGTCCACAAATAATATATGCGATGCTGCATCATTTTTAAAATAATTCTTACTATGCTGTATTTTGATGGCGTCAAATAAAATAATATCCATGAGAGATTTTCGATGACGATCGATGATGCGATTTTCGATCAGATCGAATGACTATTTCGCGCCATTTTTCAGTCTCATCATATTTTATATGTATTGTGGCATTTTAAAATTAATATACCGTGGAGAATCAATCAATCGATCAACTGATCTAGCTATTATTTCATTAATTTACGAGTACATTATAATAGGTCTTACCGGTATATGTGAAACAATTAGTTTCTTTTATAGATGGGGACACGGTCCATCGGCTGGATACCGAAAACTTGCAAATGTGGTATTGGCAAGTCAATTGGAGTGGATTGCATTGCTTTGCCAGCAACACTGGTTCTCCAGCAGCAAATCCTGTATCGATCTCATGATGGCTGGAGCAGCAGCGACAAGTACTAGTACCTTTTGGTGGCTCCTGTTGGTTTTCAGAAAATCCTTGGCTTGTTTTCTGGCCAGGGAAATATTCTTCAAGGCTTGAGGAACTGCTGCAGGATAGCTTCGCTGCGGCACCACTACCACCGGTTTCTTTACACGAATGGTTTGGTTTGGTTCGGTTCGATAGGGCGTTTGCTTCAAGAAGGATTAGGATACTATGCAAACGATATTCGACCGAGTCGACTAAACATTCGCGCCATTTTGCGTTGAGACAGCAGTTATTGATATTGTCCGTAGCATTGGAGACCTGGAGGTATGATTTGCTGCGAGTAGTTTATCTCCGCTCAGCAGCATCAATCCAACATCCAACATCCAACATCCAAACTATATACTATAATGATGGACGATTACGATTCCGACTCCGATTCCGATGCCTCCTACCAAGCAGGAAAAAAGAGACCCAGTCCTGCCTTTTCCGCCAATAATAACAAGTACAAGAATCTTGACAATGACGACGACGACGATTCGGATTCGGACGATTCCTTGCTCGATGACTCCAAACAAACCTTTCGGACGTCCAAACGCTTGCGTCAAAATGCTACCGAACAACAAGACTCCCATTTGCAAGATGCCCTCAAATCAAGAAGCCGCAAAATGGAGTCCCACGTCAATTTGCACCGCAAGATTCAACAAACCAAACAAGAAACGAAAATGCACGACGATGATTTGTTGCAGTCGGCACGAGATCTCAAAGTGAAGCGGGAAGCGGACAATAAGCAACGAGAAGATGAAAAGAAGCAAGAGCAGCAGCAGCAGCAACAACAACAACAACAACAACATGCTGCAAGTATGGATGGATCCTCACCGGCACCGAAACGAAGAAGTCCCAATGATTTGTGGCTCGAAGTCAGAGATACCGAATTGACCCGCGGTATCGACACCAATTTTGGTTTATCCGATATGCTGCCTGTCAACCGCAATCTGGCCGATTCTAGTCAGAAGGCACTGGAATATTTGGAATACGTGCTTGGCCAAGAAAAAAAAGACAAGAAGACCAAAGTGATTGTCCAGGCATTCAAGAAGCACTTGAAGAATGATACACTGGGTGACTTTTTGGTGCACAAGCGATTGGCGGCAATGCCCGAATCATCCTTCTTGTCGCCAACTTTGCTACGATGGCTATTCGAAGTGGCCGTAGCAACCTGCAGCAGTAGCAGCAGTAGTGCTGGAGAAGAAAACAAAACAACCACCACCACCACAACCAATAAAAAGGAGGATCATGCCAATGATGACACTGCTGCCTTTTACAAGCTTTCCCGGGGCGCCTACCAAACGCTGGTACAATTGTGGTCCACCGGCAAGGGATTCCTCGACAAGGAGGGATGCATTTTGTCCATTTCGGATTTGCCACTCCAATTGCAAGAATGGTTTGGCATTGATGTTGCCAATGTCAATAACAATACCAAAAAGCCAAGTCCCAAATCACCCACTTCGGTCGGAGGCTTTGTGGACAAAGCAGCAGCAGCAGCAGCAGCAGCAGCAGCAGCAGCAGCAGCATTGACGTCCACCACTACCAGCATGCCCAAGGCCATGAGTGCCTTGTCGTTGATGAGATTTTTGACTCTTTGGGAATTGGCCCTACGCCAAAACATGGTGTTTGTGGACGTTGTGAATCAAGAGGTTTGGGAGGATGCCATTGTGGCACTCCTTTTAGTATCCTTGGATCCCTACATTTTTGAATCCGCCACGGATACCTTGGCGAGTTCTCAACCCAGTGCCACCTTGCGCAATATTTTGGGGCACTTGTTGTTGTTGTTGCAAGCAACAAATAAGAATATGGATTGGACGTCCAGTCTGGCCACCAAAATTATGGAGCAGGTCGGCATTGCCAAGCTTGACAATAACAATAACAACAACAACAACAACAACAACAACAACCACCCAAAAAATGAGACTCAATCGACGACGACGACGACGACCGAAAAGGACCGTGACATTGTGTGGAGCGATCAAGCGAGAATGGTCCGGGTGCTGTGTCACACCCAAGGATCGTGTGCCATTGTGGCCACCTTGTGCGAGAAACTCGTGACCACCAAGATTATTTCATCCAGTCTGCACCATCACCACCATCATCAAGAACAACCATTATCCATATTGACCAGCTGCTGCTGGGACAATATTGACAAGGAACTTTCGACCATCAAAGGATGGTCGAGTTTTGCTGCCATTTCCAAAGTCTTTTTTCAACTCGTGGAATCTTTGCCCAATCAAGGAGAAACCAATGTCCCAGCCTCACTTGTGGAATTGTTGTTGGAAGCCTTGATCATGGGTTTGGCCAATTTGGACATTGGGGTGCGTGGCTCCGTTTCCAAATTGGACACTGCCTCCAACTATGCCTTTTTTCACCTGCTGGATACGGTCATGGTGGAATTGACGGCCAAATCCAAGGGCCTCACTGGAGACAATCCCGATTATTTGAAGGTGAATTATCATACGTCCTGTGTCCGGCAATACACTCGATTGGAAACGGCCAAGTACAAGGTTGCGGAACATCAATCGACATTGGATGGTTACTTTTCGAAAACGAAGTGAGCAAGACGAAATGTGAACTGGGACTCCATAATATGAAAGCACGACTATATACAGTCCTATATGAGGGTTTGAAAAAATGATATATTTTCATTTGTCATTGCCCATTATTTTAAAAATCATGATGTACCCATGGAACAACCCTTTGTTGTGTCTTTTGCATTCTTATATATAATACTGTAGCCCGCCCCACTCACTACTAAACAAATAGAGTAAGTCATCCATCCATCCATCCATCCATCCATTCATCCATTCATGCGTTCATGCATTTATGCATCCATGCAATGCTGCTGTTCTCACTACTACTTGCCAATGATATTTCTGACTGTCCGACCCGTCTCTTTGGCAATGGCGTCCAAAAAGACTCGTTTCTCATCGTCGCTCAGCATCGAATACATGTAAAATACCTTGGGGGCACTGACGGTGGCCATGCGAACAAAGGTATTGTAGTGGACCCATGTGTAAAGTGCCATTAGGAATTGGCAATCGAATCGATCCGTCAAACCACCATGTCCAGGAATGACCGAATCAAAATCTTTGAGTCCATAGGCACGTTTAATGGCCGACGCTAGGAACCCTCCAAAGGGGGCGACGCAGCTGGCAAAGGTCCCAATCCAGAGTGCATGAATCTGAATCGGATAAACATTGCGGAGAATCAATTCAAAATGATGAAAGGATTGGGTTGGTTCTCCAGAGACGCAGCGAGTGATTTCTCCTTCTGTAGCAGTAGTGCAGTATTCGACAATTCCTGGAATCAACTTGACCAAATTTTGTGGAAGGACTTCAAACAATTGAGCTGGAATGATGGATTGTGCCTTTTGAAAGATGTGGTGTGGTGTACAATCTAATGACTCTGGATACCAACGAAACTCATTGGCAGGACAAACCATCCATGGTAATTCTGCCAAGGCTCGAGACAAGTACCATGATATTGCCACCGTACAGATTCCTTTGGAACAAAAAGTGGAGATAAGTCAAAATGATTAGCGCCACAAGATTGAATCAATCAAGCATATAGCATTGTAATACTCCTGAGCCATTACAGTCAGCAGCGACAAACTAGAACGTACCACCTCCAATGAACCCTTCCCAAGTCTTATTGGGACTAAATGGAATAAATGATCGACGAATGAATTTCTTTCCACAGGTTCGGCCAAAAACATAGGCCATAATGTCGTTGACAATCACCAAAAGGATCGGAAAGACAAACCAGAACAACCCATTGAAAATATTGTGCATAATGTATTTGAGCTGCCCCACTGTCATACAAATCACAAGAATCGTCCAACAAAGTTGGTTGAGCTGAAATCGAATGTGCCCCACCTGCAACGTAGCTATCGTCAACACAAAGGTGACAGAATACATGCAGAACGCCAGAGGTGGAAAATATTTGGAAAAGGGCCAGAAATGATGCAGGTGCGAATTGTTTTGGATCGTATCGGATATGAAATCAGCATAAGTGTAAAAGATTGCCAGAAAGAACCACATCCATTGCGTCGTTCGAAAGAGCGGAATCGTGTTTTGAATCTTATCAAAGTAGGCACTGTACCGCACCTTGACGAGCTCTCGAAAGAGCAATACTTCGCAAAACGAGACCATCAAACAAAGGTAGAGATGTCCACTGTAGACGCACAAGGAGAAGATGGAAATCATGACAAGCCCGGAGAGGATGCGTGTGGCAACCTTTCGTGCTCGAGACTCATCCTTGGCCACCTGAGCACCGCTCATGGCAAAGTTGGTATCACCATCTGTTTCATCGGTTATTGGCAGGTCAGCATGATCGTCGTCACCCGAAAAGTCTTTGGGATTCTCCATGGTTGCTTCTGCTGTCGGAGCAACGCCTCTTCTCCTTCGTATTTCGGACATTATTTCTTGGAGGTTGATGATACGTGATACGAGGTTGGACTACTGTTCGTATGATATATTATGTGTCGACGTGACAATGATGATAAGAATGACAAAATTCTCATTGTTGCGGGTCTGTGCGTGGATCGTGCGGGCGGGGCGAGAAATGAAACGTGCCATCGACTAATCCGACCGATTTAGCTTCGGAAGTATAGTGCTTCCCAAAGTCAGTAAATTCAACTTCGGGTAGCCAGCGCATCCTATGGCAAAGTGTAGCTGGTATAATACACAATCCATTTATATTTTGAAAAATGTTTAGGACCTACCAATGGCTTTTGCTGCAAATATTTGTAATGTTGCGCTTTTCTTTTCAATACATCTTGCGTTGTTGTTTCTTCTTCCGCGAGCCTCCTCCGTGGTGGTCTCTAGTATTATTTCTACTAGACACGGGCGCCACGTTTCTTCCTCCACCACTACCCTTTGTAGCTTCTTCTACCAATGATGCTTTGCGATAGGCCCAAGTAGCGTCTTTGGAGAAGCCAAGACTCTTTAAAACACCCCCCAATGCATTGTACCGCTGAATGACGTAGCGATTCACCAGCATCGTATCATTTCCTTGTTTTGTTTGATCCGAAGGAGGAAGCATGGCATAGACTAGTTTCTTCAAGTTGAGTGGGGACAAAAATAAGAATTCATGTTCGTCGACTTGGTGAGAATTCATGAGACATTGCCAAGTGATGCAATGATCCAAACCGAAACAGTGTAAGGTTTCATGAGCCGTTGTCGCTAGTAGTGTCCGAAGGTTTCGTTTGGCAACCGTTTGGGTCACAGATACTGAATTCTTGCTGATGTGTGTGCCCTTCTTTGTTGTAGCACTGGCATGTCGTGCGTCGACGACACAGACACGATCGCCACAAGCACGACCCAAAACAGCCAGGTATTCGTCGTCCACTTGTTCGCAGAGGCCATGATTGACCAGAGCAATGACGCAGTAGTAGGGGTTACTATGTTTTTCGTCGTCGTCTACGGCATATGCCAGCATGTCAAAGAGGGAAAACACTTCGAAGCATAGCTCACCATCCACGTTTGCCTGTTGAACGGAGTATGCATACGAGCCCATTATTAGAGTAGAGTCATCCTTTGGCTTTGCATTCTTGTCTTTCTTGGTGCCTTTCTCCTTTGACGAAATTGATTTATCGTCTTCTTGGACATGCACATTTGGGAAGGATGAATGCAATTCCACCTGCATCCTACCATAGAAGAATGCTGAAAGATAGGACTTGACTCCCTGAACCGTTGCCTCCTCCACGTCTCCAATGCAGACAATTGCAATTGAATTGCGTTCTCTTGTCACTAGCCATCTTCCTGTTCCACGGGCATTGGGTTCTCGCTTTCCCATGTCCACAAACTGTCGAAAGCTTTGCTCTTCGTCGTCTTCGTCAATGGCTTCGGGAAGGGCCTTCCTGTGAAGAGATGCATAGGAAGGGTCCCAAGCCCATAGAGGCATGGCGCCAATGGCCTTGACAACATCTTTCGAGAGCTTTCTTTCTTGGTTGGTGGCCATGCTTGGATGTGTCAAATTTGTGGATCTGCGTGGTCAATCAGGAGGATTTTACAACATCAGATGCTGATTCTTTCTCATCATCCTATATAGTCCTATCTCTATAGTGGTAGGATCTTCGTAGGTTCATCCAAGTAGGGGATTCCTGGCGGGTTTGCAACGGACATTCCTACAAAATGACTGGAAGAGAAATGATGATGCAGTGGACGAATGACTGGTGATGAACGCTTTGGAGATTTTGTAGGTACGAGTATTGTATTTTGCGGAGAGCGTGCACCAAGCTGAAATCAGAATGCGATGAAGATGCGATTTGAATTCAAAATGATGGTCATTTCATAGTCTGGCCAACCAACCGTTTTCGACCATTTCGAAAACGCCTATTCTAGTACCTCAAACATCGATCCGCTATGACCAAGAGTACCAGGTACGGTACGCTATGACGCTTGATTATGGCGAATTGGGGCTATATACGGTACCGCGGTTCAGGCATGAAATGAAGAGATAGCCAACATCCAGCAGTAATGATATATTCTATGGTTTATTTGTTGTTGTTGTTGTTGCTGTTGTCAATATCTAGTATACGACTGCTCCGTACAAACGGAAATGTTTGTCTGCTGCAGGAATTCCATCGATTTCACCATATGGCTCAAACTCAATGACATAGTCGTTGTTCTCACTGGGCTCCCACTTGTAGGATCCACTTTCATCCACCAAAAGAATCATTTGATTGACCATATGGAATTTTCCTACTTTTTTGCCATTCACTGTGGCTCTGACGTTTGTTTCAAATGCGTTGAATGAAATATCACTGCTCACCCCCTTGCCAGCTGTTTCGCCAAAAAGAGTTGGGACAAGTCCAAGGTATCCTTTGAATTTGGAAGGATCGTAGCCATAGTATTCCTTTTCTTTTTCGTTGGGGAAGATCATGGTCGTCTTGCCATCCTTCAATGGACCATACAGCCAGTCCTTGTAATCCGGCATGACGATTTGAGAACAGTACTTTCGAAACTCATCACTGCGCACTCGAAGATCAATCTTGGCAGTCTGCTGGACAATTCCCGGTATCGGCTCCTGGCCTTCATCGTAGGTATATTTGCCAGCGCTAATGTGTAGTGGCACACCCACGTCGTATGTTTCGGCCCAACCTGGCTGAGGTCCTGGTGCCACTTTGTCGGAATTGGTACTGATTCCCAAATACCTCGTTTGAGAAGGAACCAATGACGTCCGGCAAACACTGTCTCCCTTGAAGAATGTTTCAAAGAGTTCCGTGTTGTTGTAAATTTCAGAATATCGTGACTGGTTGAAAGCAATTTTATCAAATACTGGTTTTGCTTTGAAGGCTTCAAACTCCTGATCCTCGGCTTGTCGCAATTCTTCGTACAAAGCTTGGGTGTTGCTTTCCTTGGATGATGTCGTAATTTCCTCCAACGCCTCAATAAAGATTTCCATAAATGAAAGTGATATGAGATGACCTAGCAACGCATGCATCCTGTATCCCATATGCCAACTTGAGCGTTTGCCAACCTTCGGACAGGCACACTGTTTCCCATTCTCGATGTCTTCCATCGTGCAACTCCATTTTCGACCGTTGCAAAAAGGCTTGCCCGCCAAGTTTCCGTTGCATTTTAACGCTTGCAAGTACGGGGGCAACTTTTCCAATTCTTCATCTGATAGTCGAATGCCACCAGGTGCCGAGTCTGGTATCTTGTTGTTCGCACTTCTGGTCACAGTTGGAACTGAATGCATATCCGCCTTGAAAACCGCCAATCCTTCCTCCTCCAAACCACGGCCCCCATGATTTGCCTGTCCATTCCCTTCAATATACAAAAGAGCTGGTCTTCCGGGAGTCAGTGCTCCCCGATACATGTAAAAGGAAGAGGTATCATGCCATTTGTCAGTCATTCCAAAATTCCAAGAGAGTAAGTCCACGTCGATACCAAAAATCTCTTTGGAACAGATAGATATATAGGGAGAAGCGCTGTGCGAATGATAATAGTGATACCGAGTCAGTCAGTCAGTCAGTCAGTCAGTCAGCAAGTGCTGCTGTCGAAATCATGAATGGCATATGACACATAATGATACGTACCTCATAGCACCCATGCCATAATTCCGGCCTTCAAATTTGATTCCAATCGCCCCAAAAACATCTTTCACATCCTTTGTAAAGTATGCTGTATAGGTTTCATTGAACATGTTTCCATGCCCTGCTGCTTGTGAGTGCCCCCCATTGGCAAAGACATATTTCTCATAAAATTGAGGTGGCACGGGTGCTGTTTCGCCTTGTGGTTCCCCCGTGGTGGCAGCGCCAAGGCAATTGCAGCCCGCCACGTCTTCTTCCATGCCCCGCAGGGTTTGCATCATGTGGAGCACTTTTAATTTCAGTTTGCGTTTCAGTCGATCCCGCGAGGGACCATCGCCGTTTGCACCTCTCATTCCATAATACTTGTAGGGTGAGGATACATTCATGAAGATTTCCTCAAAGTAGCTACCATAATCGACTTTTAGATTGGCAATGGATTTTTCTCTTGCATCCTTGGCCAATCGCAAGACATCTTGAGGATTCAGCAAGTCGCCACCGTACTTTTCCTGTCGTTTGGTATTTCGTTTGACGCAGATGTCAGAACAAGTTTCGCCACTGGGTATTGGTTCCAACTTGATGGGAGGTAGAAACGGGTTGCGGCTGGAAGCGGCACCAGTCTTGGGTATCCGAGCGCCTGCGGATGGACCTTTTCCACTGGCACTGGGTCCGTCCATTCCATGCAAGGTATAAGTTGAAGCGACCAGAAGTATCACAAAACCTATAATGGATTTGGCTTTGGGCGACAGCTGTTCCAAATATCTTCTAGCTGTGACATAATAATCGACCAGGATGTCACCTGTCAAGCTAGTATTGCTGCGTTGTTTGGAAGTAGCAGTAGTTGTTGTGGTAGTTTTGGAGGCAGAAGAAGGAGTCTTGGGGAAACCAAACTCTTCACCAACTGTATCCACCGAATCATTATCGTTCAAACTGCGTTTTCGGACATCGTCCTTGTCTCTAGAAGCCGCGGTCACAACAAGATCGTCATCACTGTCGTAATCAGTAAAGGTCATGGTTATGATGATAAAAGCAAAGGAACGGTTGTGGTGAATTTACGCCTGCTCTCTCTAATGACTTTGATGATTAGTCGTGGAGGAACTAATACGATTGCTGCAATGAAGGATCTTTGAGTGAAGGGGTGTAATTGCGATCGGGGTATAATATGTTGGATAGTGTAGATGGTGATGATGGTGATGCGATGATGAGGTATAGCTATCGAAGATAGCCAACTGGCGCCTACCGCCTGGTTTCTTCCGTGAGGGATTCTTTCTTGGTGTGACTCTGGTGGGTTGTGGTGTGAAGCTGGTCTTTTGGATTGCGCGCGAAGCGTGCGGTTCCAGAAGACCAGTAGGAATCCAATGATTCGTTCTCGTGCTTTCGTCTACGTTAGAATATCACATGTGCGATGATCATATTTATGAAATGACTCGCCGACTTGTTCGATCACGACCCTTTCGACTAAAAATGTGATAGCATATTGAATATATCGGTACCTACCGGTATGTCTATCACATTGCAATCCATTCCATGACAATCGCTACGATTGGAGCCTCAGTAGTGACAATGCCACCGTGGCTACCCATTTGATTTCTCCAAATTTCCCATCCAACGCATACTGGAGCAACTCTTCTTGGGTACATTTCACAATATCTTGCCGTTCCAAATCGGCTTGGCCCTTGACTTGAAGGTTGTTCTTGTTGTCAGCAGCCACTGCATTTTTCGCCAGGAAGGTGTGCGTGTATCCTCCTCCTCGGTTGACTGCCGCCCGGTAATGTCCTAGCGAGATCCAATCGTTTGCTGCCATTTTCAATTCTTCCATCAATTCGCGGCGCGCCGCTGCCAAGGGGGTTTCCCCTGGTTCCACCATGCCCCCAACGACTGCCAACGTGGGCGGACCGGGAATCCCATACTTGGTTTGACGAAAAATGACAAATTTTCCAGTACCGGCTTCTTGGACTAATACATTAATGTGATCCATTTCGTCGCACCAAAGCCAATCATGAATGACAGTCGTTCCAGCTTGGACCTTGTGGATTTGAAAGCGGGCAAAGGGTGTTTCATACAAAGTCTTGACCTCCAATGTCTTGCCGGGATTCCAAAAGTTGGAGCCTTGGAATCGATCCTTTTCAGTAATAGCGCTACTTTGAATAATGCCACCACCAGGAGTATAGTAGCCGAATTCTTCCAAAGGTTGGCGGATTAGAAGCATAATGATGATCACAAGTAATACAATGATTGTCGTTTCTTGGGGATTAAAAGACCACCATTTCCGAGGAAGTGGTTCAGTCGCAGGAAAGGAGGGACGTTTCATTGTCACCATGGTTGGAAATAAAAAGTTATTTGCACTAGTGGCATCATGGTTGGTGCTTATTCGTTGGTTAGGCTGATGTAATTTTCGATGGCGGACAGTCGGTGATGTTTGCTTGTACATCATGTCTTGGAAATCACTACTTTCACTCTCATCTTGTTGTATACCTCTGGAGCTCATGATGTTATTTGTTATGAATATTATTTTATTGTGATGGGTCATTTTCATTATTCGTCTGAGTTTTTCAGAAAGACGACTCGTTGGACTAAATTTACACACAAAAACAAAATTATAATGTGACATGATGATGATGATGCTGACGCGCAGCATAATAAGAACGATGACATCATTTGCATACCCTTTGCATTCTTAGTGAGACGGATAGGGCGTGGCGCCTGCCTTGGGTCGTTCATGATGGGGGATACATCGTGCTCGTGTTATTCGGACGTGAGGTCACATGCCTAACGCACCATCATGTGAATATGCATTATATATTTTCGACACGATTGGAGCGGTGATTTAGTTCGATCACACAAGCTTGGTCCAAGCCATATGGTTTTCGCACACACAATACTTGGAGCAAACGAATACACAGGATATTAAGATGAGTTCGGTTGAAGAAAAGGAGGAAGATTCATTCATCATGGACCGCACTGTCAAGTTTAACGTCGGTGGGAAGCTGTACGAGATTTCCAAGTCCTTGTTGGAAAGATTCCCTGATACGGTCTTGACCGAGAGGGTTGAAAAGGCATCCTCGTTGTCTACTCCCATTTTCGTCGACCGGGATCCTGATCGATTTGCCTTTTGTCCTGACTACATGCGCGACAATGGTGTGTGTTTTTTTTGCCTGAGAATATATTGCCAAGTCTGTATTTCTCAAAGAGCTCAAGTTTCTTGGCTTTGTGGATGTTGACGAAACTAAAATTGACGATGAAAAGGCCAAGCTAGGTCTTACGATCTCATTCAAGAAGAAGAACAAGGAATTGTGACACTGGAAAATAATGTAGCTTTATTTCGAATCAATGCACAGGAACTGCTGGTGTTTGGAAATCTGCCGCATGAGCCCGGAAAGAGCAATGAAAGCAACATTCATAAAATTCAGCAACTGATATGCGTATTTCTTGTGTAGTTTAGTCTCAGCCAAGCTATATCCGTCGCAACAGATCCATTGATTCTTCCAATCGATTGGAGCTGTACCGGTACAAGGTAGCTAGTCCTAGTACCGTCATCATAGGCTAGGTAGCACATTTGTTGGCTCTGTTACCTATAGTTTCTTCCCTTAGAGCAAGAAAAAGGCAATCTACGACACAATACATATTAATACATTCACCAAGTTAACCCTTATTGATACAATGTCTATTTGGTTCACACGTGACGGTGATTGCCGTCAATCAGTCTTTTGTGTACTACTACTGTACAAAGCAAGTCCATGATTCCGTCATTTTCATGGGCTACTTCTCACAAACATAGACTATAGCAGCTTCAAACAAGAAGTTACCCCATTGAACCTCTTGGAATGCACATTTCGACTCAATGCAATTATTTTTCGAGCTGGCTCAACAGTCTTGTTACGATTCAATTTCTGCCTCTGGTCTTCTTCGTCAATGTCCTTCCATGCTTGACGGAAGGCTCGAATTAGAATCATCAAAGGAATACCAATTGTCATTAATGCAGAAAGGGCAATGGTACCAGCGTCGATTTCGCCATTGGGGCTACTTGTAGTAGTAGTAGTAGCTTGGAGATTCATGGCATCACAATCCAGCGAATTCAGAATCGTATAGAGGAACAAAATCCATTGAGGAAATAGCACAAACACCAAGGGCGTCATGAGAGTTCCTTCCGAATCATGCTTCGAAACAATCGTGTTGGAAGTCCATCGGATTACTTTGGTGGCAGCTTCCACAAAGGATGTCACCAAGATTCCGTAGGCCCCAAACACAAGGCAAAATGGACAGTACGACCACATCATGGTAAATTGATGCAAGGCTGTCACCAGAAAGACAAACGGAACTGGCAACCCAAACAACAATACGATGAAGGTCACACTGTCGAATAGGGAAGATTTCCCTCTTTCTTGTTGTTGTTGTTGTTGTTGCTGTTGTTGTTGTTGTTTTTGCTGTGATACCTTCATCTTGATCCCCGTCTTCGCAATTTGTGTGAGACACTTATCGTGATGTTGTAATTTTGAAGATGCTTCAATCCGAACCCAAGATTCTCCTTTGTAAATAAATATTAAAAAAATACGAGCAAGCCAAATTTTCTGGACCGAACCGAACTCCGTTGCAACATGACCGTTGCGAAGTCACATAGCGAATGAATCTCGGACGAATGAATTACGAATCAATGAATCTCAGTGGTATCTTCCATCCAACCAGATCTCAACCTTGAAATACATGAGATATGTGATATTAATCTCTGCTATTATTATATTCAATTTAGAAATGTGGTGTCATCTCTCCCTTTGTAGCGTCTTTTGGCCAAATCGGAAAGAATAGTATTTGTGAAGTGCAGTAGTTTGAAAATTGGCGTTGGTACGTTTTTGGTGCCCCATGTAGGGATCTGCCAGCCAAGGTGAAAGATTTCGCTTACACCATGCTGGTTAATTCCTTTTGTCATGGGATGGTTCAAATTGCTGAACAATCTGTTGTAGATTTCTTTGTGAAAAGATCATTTAGGCAAATGAATCCTCGTCGTCATCCTCTTCTTGCCTGTGAAAGGTCCCTGTGCTTGCCAGCCCTGGGCCATGGCTACAGGATAGAATGATTTGTTTCTGGTTGATCAACTTCAGCTCTCCAGGGAGCCACGAGAAGCCATCGGGATCTTGTGGGTCCGCCCGAGTTTGAATTTGGGCCGAGACACTTGGTCCACCTTCCGTAGGCCAAGAATCAGTCTGCCAAGTGACGCATCCGGCTGGCACATGCGGGTCCCCAGTCACCTTGACGGCAACCATGACGGATGTAGCCGAAGCTCCTACCAATCGTGTCGACACTTGAACCCATTCTCGTCCATGCTTTCCGTAAAAGTCATCTGAAAACCATAGGCCTTCCATGGCCTCAAGCTTTTCAGTCAAGCCATCAACTAGCTCATCGTAATCATCCTCTTCGTCCTCAATAAGGAGGTCGTCTCCAATGATGGTGGGTTCTCGGACGGGTGCAACAACTCCTGCAAACAAGCTGCTTGTCATTTCATCCAAGATTCCTGGTCTCGAATTTCCAAGGCCAATGACGGGTTGGAATGATTGGACATTTTGAAGCATTCCCAGGAAAACCAAGGAGATAAGTGACGCCATGAGCGTTTGAGTAGTCTTATTGTTCGTCATCATCGTCGTCGTTGTGGTAATTGGTGTGATGTGTGATATAATGGAGTGACAGAGAATTTATGGAATCTCGTCATTTTCATTTTAGTGGTGGAGAGTGTTTCTGAACGGAATGACGTGTCACTAGTCAGAAAAGACTAAATCCAAACCTTTATTCTTGGCTTCTGATCGGAAGAGTCGAAGACACGGGATCCTAACTTATATTATTATTCTGCCAGAACTATTGGTATACAGGGGTACTGTACGAGATCAATCTCTAAATATGCATTATACTCCCACATTCGATTTCAATCACATGTGTCATGGTCATCCATTATGTAGAGAGGTTTAGTCGCCACTTGAAACAATCAATCAATCGTCCTCGCGTGAACACACGACGAGATAGATTGGATATGACTAACTACTCGTCCAAGTGATAGAAATATCATCATCTTACTGTAAACGAATACTTTCTATTTTCAGACGAAAAACAAGATTTTGTGGTTGTAGCATTCTATTGTTATTTATGATCTGCAATGATGCGAGGGTGTTATAGCGTATTCATCCCTTTCTAAGTTTGGTTGCTTCCATATTCGATTTTGATACCTTGCATGAGCAAAGTTTCCTCGTTGTCATTTGCATCAATGAATTTCTCTTCTACCTCATCTGCATAGTCTTTGAAGCTCACCCTTGCAAATGCAATCAGTAAACTGATGTTCATTCCTGTATACCCAGCGATGATGCACACCCATGCAGCTTCCAAGCCACCTCCAAGGACAACGGCAGAATAGTACAGTATCGGCATAACAAAGACCCATAGCGAGACAAAGTTGATGCACGCTAGCCACCATTGCATTCCAAGTCCAGTGGCTACTCCTTGGAGCATTCCAAAAAGGGAACAGGTCTGGCTGAAAATGCACAGCTTCCACCACATGTGTTGGGCAATTGCCAAAACCTCAGCGTCATTCGTAAAGCACATGATGATTCGTTCTGATTGCAGATAAACGATTGTGTTTATCACGGCATAAATTGACATGACCATGAATGTCGCGGAAAGAATAAGTTTCTTTGTCGTTCTGATGCTTTCCGTCAGGTTGATCCCCATACGGATTGACAAGGCAGTCCCACCACTCAATGGTGGCAACCACAAGATCATCATGACTTCACTCGGAATCGTATGAACCGACAGAGAAAGGGCGCCTATGCTTCCAATCACTAAAGCAGCACACTCCCAAAAGACCCATTCGCACTGGGCCACCATACCGCCCAATCCCAACCTTACGAATTCGACCATTGGATCGAATGCAAGGATGGCATCACGCCAAGATGATATCCCAGGCCAGGTGCCTCGGGTATGTGGATGAGCGGAGCAAACGTACACCAACAATGATGTTGCTTGAACAGCTTGAAAAGTGAAATATGCCCAAGCGGATCCCAGAAACCCAAAATGCATCGTCATAAAATGCAAGCAGGTCGGCAAGATGATGCCAAATGATGCCAGTGAGACACAAATCATTGGGTTCATAATGTGCTGAGCCGATAGAAACTTCCAAATGACGTTGTAGACAATGCAGAATGGAAAAGATAATACGTAGATGTTGTACCATGCGACGGCCAGTACCACAGCTTCTTCGTCTTGTCCCAGAAAAAGCAGGACATCCTCAAGGTAATTCACCAAGACAAGGTTGATTGGAATTACCAATGCACTGGCACAAACCAATCCTCGAATGGCAATCAATCCGACTTCTCTGAAATCTCCATTTCCAAAAGCTTGGGGTCCCAAAGTATCCGATGCGCTGAATAATCCCAGCAACAGGCTAAAGGTGCAAAGGTTTCCTATCAAGTTGGCCAACGCAAAACCACTCAAATGAATTGGTTCAAAGTTCCGTCCAATGAAACTGGCACACAACATGGGACTGGCAATCATTCCCAAATTCGCAAGTATCGTTGGTATCGCTAGCTGTATGAATAATGACAACTCTGAAAAGATGGTCGGTGATGGCGATGGTGGTAAAGAACCATTGGACTTGAACATCTTCTCCATTTGCTCGTCGACAGCTTCCTCCACAGCGTCGACGGCGTCCTCCACGGCTTCGACTATGTTGTCAATGTCCATGATGATTGATATATTGCCCCTTTGATTAATTTTTATGTGTGCCAATGATTGACAATTTTTGCGTTGCCCTGCAAACAATCACCTACGAACTCTTGAAATATCGATTTCTTACGCTGCAGCATCGTGTCTAGTGTATGGATATGATCGACCTCGTTGATCGAAAGAGTCCGTCCACTCGTGTGTTTTGATGTCTGATCAAGTAAATCACATCACAGGGTATTCGCTTCTTGCGGTCAGATCAGATCCGATGATATTTCTCCGTTCCTCCAGTAATCACGTTGCTATTTTGACATTCTTTTTTGTTGAAGAATACGAATAGAAGATGCTGTACACGTACCGGTATACACGTGCACTACACGTGTACGAACCGGTATCTTCAATCGAATCTTCAAATATTTTTATGGAATCTCATCTCTTCCTGTTGTTTACCTTGCTCCATTCCTCCTTTATCCTTCCGATCGGATTTGCTCCGAATAAAATTTAACCGCGCCCATAACCACGGGATAACCGCCGCATAGCAGTTTTGCACCACGAGAAATCTCGCATCGTTATGGGTTCGAAGCCGTTGGACAAAAAATTAGTTGCCACGATTGACATCGTGAGGTTCTCTTCATCGCTCTTGATCTTGTCACATTTTGATACGAATAAAAACACCAATTCTCAATATCTCACAAAACAAGAAAGTACAAACAACAAAACAACAAGATGAACTCCAACAACAACCAAAACACCATTGAACTCTCGGAAGCTGATACTGACTATCTTGACTACCGTCAGGATTGCACCTTCTCGGAAGACACCCGCGAAGAAGAAATGTTTGATATTCGCAGCATGATGATGGAAGACCAACAGCGCATCTTTCGTGACCTACCCGACGCCGATTACACTCCCATTGAGACATCGAACGACAGTCAACGTATTCCTCTCAGCCCTGCCTGGAGCCAAGAATCCATGGAAGATCCAGAAGAGCTCAAGCCCAGCATGGCAATTGATGCCAGCAATGCTCCCTCGCAACAACAACAACTTTACTATTTGAATGGACCATCATCAAATTTCGTGGCTCGAATCTCTGACTTTGATTTGAACTCGGGAACTATTCAAAGGTTGAACTTTTAATTCTGAATGAGTCGCATAGCACAACTGGGAAAAACGATCAAAGCAACATCTGCTGCCCAACGAATATCACATAATATACCGCCGCCGACTGGGAAAGAGCAAGAAGGATACAAAACATAAGAACAAAGATAATAGAAAATATAGATTGGATTCATATACCTGCACAACTACACTTCTCTGATTCATACTAAACATGCAGAATTGACTTCACGTTGAATATCTTACATGGTATACCGGTACACGTACCGGTACATGGAACATACGTGTACGATACGTGGCCTTACTTACCTACAAAAACGTGAAATCTTGAAACTGAAGGATTTGGCACGACCAAGGCCAACAGTCACCTCTACCAATGATCTCGCCATGCATGTACCGGTATAACTAACTACAATACACAATACTACTAGATGATGATCAGACCTGCAACATAACTGAACAAGTGTGAATCATATTCAATCAGAAGGATTTGGAACGACCACGGCCAACAATCACCTCTCCAATAGTCCTATCATACATGATAGTCTCAATCTGATTTATACTGTAGGTTATGATCATACTTGCAACATGTATATACAATTCCAGACGTCGAATAACGTCGCCAGGTGTCAATCTTCAATCAGAAGGATTTGAAACGACCACGGCCAACACTCACCTCTCAATGGTAGAGTACAGTGCGTACTGGTAAAGAGACGCGATCCAACGATGCTATCGCAATACACAATTTATCTTCACGAAGATCTCATATCATTACGTGGTACCTGTACCGGTATTAAAAAATACGAGTAACGGTATTAATACGTATACCGGTATTGATATATATTTTCAATCAGAAGGATTTGCCACGACCAATCAAGAATATTCACCTCTTCAGGCATACTGGTCCCATCAAAATAGAATATGATGGTACCTGGTACCATCGAAATACTACAGTACCGTACTCTGTCTACACTCACACGCTATGGTTCAATCCAGTCCAATGGAAAGAAGAAGTATTGTAATGCACATCATAACAACCATTTCTCGTTCACTATCTTCCTATCCTACTACTATACTTCTTACTTGGTTGGAAGTGCGAGTGCATTGTACTCTTTTCGTAGTCGGGCTCGTTTGACCAATCCATCCGTGACCCTTGTCCATTTTATGTTCGTCGACGTTGTCGTCGTTGTCGTCATTGACAAGCCTTCCAATTGAAAAATCCAAGTGAGCAATACTTGACGCTTGTCCTTCGTTTGCATTTCTTGCCAAGATTGTTGCTGCTGCCTCTGTTGTTCGTCCATGGCGTTCCACAAAATGTCGACCAGGTCTTGTTCTTGGAAATCATTGTCCACAAATTCAGGATTTACCACACATCCCAAGACTTGTGTCAAAAGCTGCGTCACTTGTTCTATGGCATAGACCAGTGGTTGGTCTTGCAGGCTAGTCAACAACAAATAGTGTCCTCGACTGACCCATGTCTGTGCCATGATTCGGGCCAAGTGTCGTATGAAATCCTTTGCAGTATTGCCATGAATTTGTTCTTGCCTCGATAATAAATCGGTTTGCTGAAGTAGAATCTGAAAGAATTGCAAGGATACCGCATGCATTTCCAAGGATTGCAGCAATCGTTTTCGTTCGGCTACTTCAGAAGATTCCGTTTTCGTAGTAGTAGTAGTAGTAGTAGTAGTAGTAGTAGTAGTAGTCATGGAATGTGGGTAGGGCAAAATGGACAATTGATCCAAACACAATCGCCAATAATCCCCATTCTCTCCGGCAATTTGTTGGGCTGCCTGCAAAAATCGTGGTCCCATGTCTTTTGGGTACAGTCTCAATAAAATTTGCACATAGTCCAGGGCCAATTGCAATCGATTTCCTTCGTAAAACGCATAATCTTCATGATAGGTCGGTCCAAAGGTCAATAGCTTGATCAAATCTTGCACCAAATGGGGGGTTGGAAATTCTTGTTTGCTTCTTGTGAGCAAGAGTAAGCTGGATCCAAAGTGAGGCGTGGAGGTATTGAGAGCCTTGTAGTAGGTATTGGCCAAGGTCGCGTGCATGGTGGTGGTCTTTTGGGGATCCTTGACGTCCGTCTCGTCTTCGGATTCGGAATCGACCGTGTCTTGCGAGAGCTTGTTGGGAGTGGCCATGTTGTTTCTGTTCGTAGGAGACTGACGCGTCTGGACGGACGAGGCAGCAGCAGCGGCAGTAGCAGTACTGTTATTATTGGAGCAAGTGCTTCCCATGGTCCGCGTAGGTCGATAGGGGCGGAATCCTAATTTCTGTTCCAATTCGTCCAATTCTGCGTCCATGACAGCCAACGAATCTGGTGCATCCTCCTCTTTTACAGTACTATCTTGATCTTCCATCGACTGATTGGGGGAAATGGAAGCCGTTTCTTGCGCCACCGGAAGGACCTGGAATTGATAGAAAAAGTCGCATCCCTTGCACGTTTTGGCCACCACCAAGATATCGTGGGGTTCCAACACAATCGTCCTGCCACGTTCTACCTGCAATACTTGATCGTTGCGGGTAATCTTGCAAATATCCGCTGCCAGTTTGGCACATTTTCGATGCGCCTTGGTGGCCTTTTCGTTGTTTGGCTCGGTCCGGTCAAAGAAGACGTCCAATTCCAAAGTCTCGGGAGTGACTCGAGAGACCTGCAAGAGTTTGCGTGGAATGTGACAATCGACAATGCCAATGTCGACTGGACGGACTGGAGTGACAATGTTGGCTGGAACACGCTTGGTGGGTCTTCGTCCTAGAATGTTGCCAACGTAGAGTCGAACGACGGTGGACTCATTGGTACCATTGGTATCATTGGCATTGCTGCTGCTGCTGCTGCTGCTGCTATTGTTGTTGTCATCCATTAATTTCAAACCCAATGGTTGCGTGTTGGTGGGTTTGCGACGCTTGTTTTGTGTCGCTGCATTATTGGCAGCAGCAGCATTAGAAGCAGCATTAGCAGCATTGGTTCGCTTTCGTGCTCGTGCTGCCATGATCGATTGATTGATTGATTGATCGATTGATCGATTTGGAAACAGCAATATAGGACAATGCCTACTGTTGCAACGTAGTGAGAGTGTCAATCGATAATGTAATGATGGATATAATTATTATTATGGTGCTCTTGAGATTATGTTCGAATTTTTGTGTGTCCAATGCGAGGTGGTCTGGCCTTCGCAGAAAATCAATTTGGGCGCGACGTTTTTTCAGTCGACCCACTCGGTTTTTGGTACGGCCTTATCGCAGCATCGCAAGATTTCAAGGGACAGAAGTAGGCCCAACAACAAATTCATTCTAGCTGCTGTTCCCGGTATTATCTATGTTGTCACTCGATAAGCACTACTGGCAGTAGGTATATTTACGGATTGTTTGTCGATACTGCTGGCTGCGACGTTACAAGGAAAAGACAGACTGCTTCAGTTCATGTCATTAACGCTGCCTCATCCGCAATCAGAAAGTCTCATCAAGTCTGGTCGTCTGTTGCCGTCATCTATATATAGTCTGCCCTTTGCCGCAACAACACATCAATCTGCTGGTCTGATCTACATATATATGTATATGTATGATAGTTGTCGAGAACTGCCTGTCATTGCAACGATATACAAGAGGACAGACCTGCTTGTTTATTTCGACGCTGCCTACTAATCCGCAATCAGAAAGTTTGTTCAAGTCTGGTCTGTTGCCGTCACTATAAAAATTATACAGCAAACTTGGCATACCTCTTTCCTATTATAGTCTTGTTGTCTGAAATTATTCCTGTTGATTACCCTGGTGACGATTCCGTCATCTCTACCAACAGGGCCTGTTTGGTTCGATCCCACTCTGCCACACAGATACAAGATTGCATTCGGAAATCAATTATTTCAATCAATCAATCAATCAATCAATTATTTCATTCAATCAATTAAAATATACCGAGAATACAACGACATTCAGCATGATAAAGTCGTTTACATATGAAGCAGGAATGGACGAAACGACTCGAATTCCAAAAGGGACAGAGCAGCTTATCATTGCTTCATCCGTAACATTACTTATTCCCATGATTATATGCAAAGACTGTGCCGATACTTTGCAAGAAATTGTCTTTTCACCCGAAGGAGAAGAATAATGCAATCTTTGTCAGATTGATGGTTTCTTGTGGGATCTCTCGTCGGACGACGATAGTTACACCAGCGATCATAGTCAAGACATTGCCATGGGACGATGCAAAGCCCTAAAGACATTGAATATTCCTTCCTCTGTAGAGATCATTGGAGACCACGCCTTTTTTCTGTGGACAGGCTTGGTGGACGACGTACATCTTCGGGAAGGCTTGAAAACGATTGGAGCGAATGCCTTTGGCGTATGCTCGTCCTTGTCCAAAATTAGGATTCCCTCAACGGTAGAGACCATGGGAAAGCTCGCTTTTGCGGATTGCTTCGAGCTGAAGGAAGTCGTCTATGACAGTGATTCAAAGCTGAACAAATTGGAAGGACGCATGTTTTCTGGCTGCATTTCCTTGACGGACATCAACCTGCCACCAAGCATTCAAGAAATTGGGATGGAAGCATTTATCGGATGCCGAAAATTGAAATCAATGGATCTTCCCAAGCAGCTCGCAATCATTAGAGATAGTGCCTTTCAGAACTGCATCAAGCTGCAAGTAGTTCAGCTACACCATCGATTGACGATAATTGAAGACAGGGCTTTTATAGATTGTCACTCACTATTGAAAATTGAGATTCCTTTTACAGTGGAAGCAATAGGAATCTGTGCTTTCAGTGGTTGCGTTCGGTTGGCAGAAGTTATTATGGAGCCTGGGCGATTGGAATACATAAGCGTGGAGTCATTTTCTTTTTGCGAGAATCGCTTTCTCCAATCTAGTGTCTGTAGAGTTGCAACCTGACTCTGACGTTGCCATTGAAGATCGTGCGTTTGCTTGTAATGATGGGCTTTGCAATTTTTCGTCGGAGGATAGTCCCGGTGCGCGGATCAGTGTATGTGCCCTTTCTCAAAGCACTGTTGAGGATTCTGATGAAGATGGTGAAGACGACAATCCAGAGTTTTGGAAAAGTCGGTATCGCGGGTATCTTGTTCACAGCATGTGCTACCATGCATCCACCACCAATGCCCTCCAACTACGTAGGGCTATAGCCCTTTGGAAGCCTCCACTTTGTGATGACGATGGACCGGATGTCCAATTTAGAAAGCACGCCATAGACCAATGTGGCATGACTCCATTCCATGTCCTCCTATCGGCTGCGAAACGGAGACGGGACTTGCTAGAGGTTTTGCTGGAAGAGTATCCTTTGCATATGCTCGGATGGAAAAACACGCTGGGGAGACGGCCTTTAAATAGCTTGATTGGTAACTGGACAGGAGAAGCCAAGGAAATGATGAAGATTGCTGTGCAGAAATGGATGATTGATCGGATGGCAACTTGGGGCTTGCAAGTGTGGAGAGAGAATATCTCTAGCAGACTGAACAAGTTATTGAAAACTGGCGAATCGAAGCATCCGATGTTGAGGTTTCCAATCTTGGATGGAATATATGATCAGTTTTATCATTTTGAAAGAATGGAGGCCACATCTTTTTTGGAATTGTGGCTGTGGAAAATGGAAATACGATCTACTAGTCGAAAAGAATGCAAGCGTATTCTCCTGGACCGAGGGAGTAGTCGGCATCGGTGCGGTGCTACCTTTGTAATCCCGACTGTCATAACTTATCTACCGCATGTTGATGAGGTCGCTGACGATGACAGTGGTCAAAGTGACGACGAGGATGGCCGTGACAACGAAGATGATAGTGATAGCGCTGCTGGTTTTTGTTACGAAGTCTTTTTGTCTGACGCAAAGTGCAAACGTTTGAGGTCCTGGCCGTCAACATGGGATGATGCTTCTTTGTCCAGCGAAAATGGAGATGACGAGTCCAGTGAATAAGTGAAGGTATACCGGTAGGTGACTATGGAATCCATGAATTCAACTGTGCTGTCCTCCACAGTAATTAATAACGAAGGAGTTACTCAGCTTGAAGAAGAAGATATCGGCTCTGGATTCTTACAACTGAAGTTCAATATTGGGTACAGTACACGAAAGAAGCAAGTAAAAGCCAAGTACTTCAGCAGCTTCTCCCTGCTTTTGGTCCTCCAATAAAGCACAATGATAATTTGCCGCCCAGTCTAGCCAAAATAAGTATTAGAAGCACCAACCCTGTAGGGGATATCACGGCTGCTTCTAAAAGTCGCCAACGTTGGCCCAAGATGGGTTGGAAATCTCTTTTGCTACAGCAGCTATTGATTGGACGCGAATTTTTAGAAATGGACGAATTGGTTGCTATATATATGGACACCAGTTATGTATTAGGTTTGTATATGATGCAAAGGCATACTAGTTGCTGAACGCTTCATCACTTGCTTACATCCCTCTTTCCGATTGCATGGTGCCCTCGTCTTCGGCTTTCTTTACTCGTCTTGCGGTGATACTTTTGATGATGCTAATGCTAGAGGATTGCGGCGGCTTAGTTTGCCCCGAATATTCAGTCTCCTTGATCCCAACGATAGTTTTGATAATTTTGGATCTAGTGTCTTTGCTGGTCTCAACAATAATTTTGATAATTTCGGATTTCGTTTCTTCGATAGTGTCATCGATGATTTTGGTTTAGATTTCATCAATAACTTTTTTGTTGCATACTTTTCCATCTCGTGTTTCTTCTTTTGTTCCAAGAGCTCTTTTTCCAATGCCTCTGCCTTCTTCTCCAATGTCCAAATTCGTCGTGTGGTTTCTTCTGTAAGGTGGTTGAACCTAGAAAGGCAGTTTTGCTTTGCCTTCTCGTCGTCAATCTTTGTTCCGTCAATGTCCGCAAAGCCTAGAAACTGGAGGTCTTTGAGAATTGCTGGTTTGGGGACATTCTCTGGTAAATGCACCACACCAATATCGCGCATGTAATCAAGACAAAATGCAAATCGATCAGGATCCCGGTCGATGAAAATGGGAATGGAAGACGAGGAACCCTTCTGAACCTTCTCGGCCAAGATGGTACTAGGGAATTGTTCCAACAAGGACTTGGAAACCTCGTAAAGCCTTCCTCCAACGTCAAACTTGACAGTGTTGAGGGATCGTTCTCCATCAGTTCGTTGTTTGATCGCTTCTGTGACACTTCGGAACCCAGTAAAGCAGTTTGGTTGGTTGGCGTTCTCATCGTGAATCATCCTCAATAAACCTCTGAAGAAGAAGTGCCAAGAATACAGAGCTAACGCAACAGTCAGAACAAGGACCAAAGTGATATCGACAAACACCGAGACGGTATTAGGAAATCGTTTCAGCAACGACTTGAAAGCCTCGTACAGCTTCCCAACAACATCAAACTGGAAATTGCTATTGAAGGATGATTCTTTGTCCTTTGCTTCCATCGAACCCATCGTGTATTGAAATTCGTTTGCTCCAAATGTATGTGACCAATACGGTTTGGCCAGAGGGGAAAAAAGGCTTGAAGCGAGTTGTCATCAACACGTTTTCGGTACTGAAATTTGCATTGGTACATACTCCGCAGAATTTTGAAGCCAACGAGCAAGGCATCATCATGTGTCTCTGGGAACGTCGGTGGTTGATCTAGCTAGGGGTTCATGACTGCCCACAAACACTGGTGCCACTTCGTATGCTTCTCACATAGCATCATTTCATTCTTTTTGAAGTTGTCCTGACAGGAATGTGAAGACAGAAGGCCTATCAAGAAGATTCAACAACAGAAATAGTTGCGATGCCGCTGAAAAGAAGAGAATAACTGAGAACATTAGGCAACCCAGTAGATCCAACGTATGAGATGATGGTGTCCACAGATATCAAGACATAAAAATACTGCGTGCAATCAAATCGAATCTAATCTAATCGATCAGCTTCCGTTGGGCCGAATACTTCGATTGGATTTTGATTCGAGGTCTCGAGAATAAATCTCTTTTCTATTTTATCATCATCTCTTCCATTATAATGTTTCCTTCACACAAACAAGGCATGACATATTGTACCATAGTACCACAATCAGCACACAAACTCTTATAGCATCACCCAAATGATCCACTGTTACGACCCAGTACCAAGATAGTACTTGTACGGGATAAGGTATGCTTCGCCTTCCTTCTGTATCCCCGTATACCCTCGGTCTCGTTTTCATCTTTTTGGTGGCTGTGATTTGGAGTGCCGCCAGTGTCTTGGTCAAAGTCCTTTATGATCAAGCCGATTTCAAGAGTCCCTTTTTGTTAACGTACATTGGTGGTGCCTTGTTTACGATATTCTTGCCGCTGGAATGTCGCAAGTTGTCGCCGTCGTCCTCTCGTGATGATAGGCAAGCAACAGATACTGATAATGATGGCATGATGACGACCCAACATGATGATTATCATTTGGAGGGTCTTCCTCCGTCTTTACAACAACATCAACAAGAACCAAAACACTATTGGACCGTACGAGATCACATTGTGGCATCCGCCAAGCTTGCGCCTCTTTGGTTTTTGGCCAACTATGCGTTCTATGCCAGCTTGCAATACATTTCCATTACCTCGTCTACCATTTTGGCTAGTACCGGAAGTTTGTTTACCTTTATACTAGCCCTCTGGCTAAAGGACGAACGCTTTCATTGGTGGAAACTCACTGGCGTCACGCTCGGGATTTTGGGATCCATATTGACGGCCAAACATGATGCTGCAGCCACAAGTTCAGGTGGTGGCGGTGGTAGCAGTAATGAAAGTACCATGGAACTATGGGGTGACTTGTTGGGATTGCTCTCGGCGGCTGGATGGGGTGGATATGCCGTCATGGTCCGAGTACTTTGTCCCAAGGATGAATCCCTAATGAGTATGCAACTCTTCTTGGGATGTCTGGGGGTATGGATCGCCATTGGTCTCAGTCCAGTGCTGATTTGGGAGCTATTGCATTTGTCTTCTAGTCTATCGATGGTCGTATTTGGCTGCCTGGTGATCAAAGGACTTTTGGATAATGTGCTGAGTGACTATCTTTGGGCAAGATCCGTCATTTTGACTTCTGCGACGGTGGCCAATGTGGGCTTGGGGATGACCATTCCGATGGCATTCGTGTGTGATATTGCCATGGGTCAGCCAGACGTTCTGAATATAATGTCGATATGTGGAGCTTTGTCTGTGCTTGGTGGTTTTGTTCTTGTCAACCTTGCACAGAGAGATGAAGAGAGTACTCCTAGTATTTCACAACACCAGGATGACGAACTGCTGAGCCATTCATCGTCTGCGGCCTCTCAGAGGGGCAACGCCAATTTTGTTTAGAAAATGAATTTATGCATAGTGTAATTATAATACTTGTGATATTATACAATCGAGGGTATCATTTGTACTTGTTCCAAAGTATCATCACAATGGCCATTTGGCGTTTGATGTTGTTATGTCTACGATGTTTTGGTGTGATTGCAGCTCCTCCCAGAAGTCCAATATTCCAAATAGCCAGCGTCCTTTTTCTGATGTTTCAATAGCATACTTGCCGTTTGGGACACGAGCTGACTCGTCACGGTCAATTCGTCCTTCAGAGATTTGATTTCGTCTTCTCGTTCGAGCAGCTTGGCCTGAAGCATTCTCAATTGAGCACCATGCTGGAGCTCTTGGGCTCGCAAGGCGCTTTGCAGATAGGAAATCTCTTCCGCCTTGGTGACAATGTCAAGCTCTTGATGATAAACAATGGTCTGAACAGTTTCGTACTTTCGTTGGTATTCATTACCGAAAATCTCTTCCGAGAGTGTCCTTGCCCTAGTATTATTTGTGGTGGATGATGATTCTTCTTCTTCGACCTTGGCCGTCGTCTTTGCTAGAGAATCGCTCAGACTGATGATTTCCGAGTTCTTTTGAATGATCTCACTTTCTTGTTCCAGCATGGCTTGTTCTGAAGTTTCTTTTTCCATTTTCAAGCTTTCATTGGCCTTTTCGAGTTTGGAGATTTGGGCGGACATTCGTTCTAATTCTTCCGAATGGGATTGTTTCAATGATTCAATTTCGGATTGCGAAGAGGATTCATCACTGGAGTTTGAAAATGAGGGAACAATGACTTGCGACTCTGCTGCCGACTCAAAGGATGACGTCCATGTGAGGCATGGCTGTTCGAATTGCCCTCCATCACTGCTGGTGGTTGGGGGATCAATGGTGGGTTTTTGTTCGTTGGAAGATTTCTTCAGGCGGAAGATGCTGGATTGGTCAGACGACTTTTTCTTGCTTATACCTGTAGACTTGCGCTTGGATGATAGTTTTTTGAATATTGAAGGCATGGTGATGATTTCCGTATTTTGTTTTATCGACCGAGCTTTTATTTTAAAATAGTTTCGATGCTTCGATATGTTTTGAAAGATACCGTTGACTTCTTATTTTCTTCAATGGCGAGTTGGCAATGGCAACGGAAACGGAACATTCGACTACTTGGAATGCAAAAGCAAAAGCTTGTCATGAAAGGAAGTTATGCATCATTTGGTTTTTTAAACCAACTAAGAATAAAGTCTGTTGCAAGTGCTATGTAAATATTCCTGTAATGCTGTCATGAAATGACGCAGTCGTCAAAACAGGCATTCGAGCCGACTTCTTTTTGTACTTTGTGACCATCTCGGACGATGAGTTGGCGGCCTTCTACACCCGATGTTTCCGAAAGCGCCCTATATACATTGTGGCTTGTAAATCCTCCAGCTTGAAGGTTCATCAACGGTCGTCCCGGAATGTGTAGTGCTTCTACCGTTTGTCCAGGGAATAGGCGAGTTTTCATCTCACCCTCCGCCACAGATGAAATAACGGGTGGGAATCCTAGAATGGCAAATCCCAACTGTGGGCTTGGGGACAGCTGATGCTTGAAAAATGGGTGATTGGCTCGTTTTCCAACCATTGGATCAATAAAGGATATGCTATGCGAAATCACCAATTGTCTTGGATAGTTGGCGTTGAAGCGGAGAACTTCTGTCAAGTGATTGCAACCGACCAAGTTCAGAATCTCCATATTCACAAGTTTGACGGCATGAATATAATGACCAACTTGAACCTTTCCTTGTAGTGGACTCTTGAGATCCACTTGTGAAATAGTTGGTGGCGATCCAGTTAAAGTGAGACCCAGCATCTCTGGTGGAACTTCCATGGGCAAATCCACGAGGTATGTTTGACTTCCTTCGAGTGTAGCGACGGCCACAATATCGTTGTTGGGGACATTCATTGGAACTTGCTGATTGGTACTACGAGTGGATGCAGCTTGGAATAATGATTATGGCAACAGTGCCTGACGACCCACTTTACGCAACGCGTCTCAAGTGAGATCCTATGCAATTCGATTCATTCAGAATGTCCCAAATTGAAAATGATCTGCATATCGAACCAGCCGTCGTCCGTACAATAATTCTGGTAAGACTAATTGAAGATTGGTCCATTGAGTCGAAATGCGAACTTTCAATACGTCGCGTCGCTGCGCTGCAGAAGCGCGGTCCAATTCAGTACTCTACTTATATGATATAGGCGCAGAATTATAGTGTCAACAATGTTTCACCGCAGCACGTGTGGTGAATTAATTGCTTTCTTTAACCCGAGCCGCTGTGCTATTTAGGTGAAATGGTGTAGTGTCAAAAATATTTCACCGCGTGGTAAATTAGCTGTTTCACTGACATGGATTGGCGCAATTAAGTTTCTATCCATGAGTTCTTCTCCTCTTGTTCCAATCTCGACTCCATCAAGCTTAGTCTCCCTGGTGTTGAGGGCGTAGTTCTTGCAATCTACATATTATGCAATCGCATCGTTGTAACTTGTAATCAGGCTGTAAATTCCAAATTTGTATTCTATATTCTTGTTTGTAGTATAGTAATGGCCTTCATGCTTTTCATCGTATGTACCCCAAAAATTCAAAGCAAATGGTTATAGCCAGTGCGAGTTACGAAAGTGATTTCCAGGATCGTGACTTGAGAAATTTCTTCGCCCTTATGGAAATGCTTTTGCGCAAGGATGGTCTCGGTGGAGCTGCTTTGGAAGCCGATTCCGTGATTTCATTCATGGTGTACCCGCTTTCTACCAATATGGCTGTTCGGAAACTGCCAGGAATCATCATTTGTGGAATAGACTTCTTGCGTTGTATCCTGCTCGCTTCGTATTCTTCCAAACTCATGGTGGACTCGGATTGCGGACTCCAATCTAGTTCTACGGCGGGGCCACCTGATGCAGATGGACCGTCACTGAGAATCATGGCATGTTCGTGAACTTCTATGGTTGTGAAGGAGACACTGCTTCTCGTGGATTGGATGCTTAGTATTGAATCGGACTGGGTGAGAGCTGATCGTTTTGCCATGTTTTTGGATAGATGTCAATGATGATACTATTGTAATCGAATGAATGACGAGATTTTGTACCAAAAGGCTTTTTGTGTTTTGTGAAATTCTGAAAAAGCCCAAAGATGACCAACGTTCAATGAAAGGAGTTCCTTTCGTCTCAACACATTTCATATTGGTAGAGCGGTCACTTATGGATCATTTCATCGAAGAATATCCGAAAACCCTCATCTGTGTTCGACATTTCTTTGTTAAAAGAATTCGGCTAATTCTACACCTACCCATCCCAGGGGTATGGCATCTTGAACCTTCATTCAAACCGGCGACTCACTCGTTTCGAAAACTCGCATTATTCTCAATTTGGCGGTAATCCGTCATCACGAGCTCTGCTACGAGCACCTTCAGCACGTGCGCATCATGTCTGCCTACCGCCGAAGAAAATTACTGTTTATTGCTTGATATCAACAATTATGGAAGCAAGACTGAAAATACGGGAATGAAGCCATTTTTTTTGCGAGCGGTCTAATTTTGAACTTCACAAAACTGACGACCGCCGCCATCAATATATTCCACACGATCTAAATTTGCAACCAACACTGAATTCACAATTCACAACAACAAGAACAGTTCACAAAACACAATCATCATCAACGAGCAATAGCATGACAAGCGACAACGACAATAGTGAACGATCGGAACGAGGTGGACTGAATCTTTTCGCGGCACCAAGACAAAAAGCCAAAACCACACCGCCCAGAAAAGTGAAGCGGCTCGAGAAACGAATCTCCATCGACCTGATTCCAATGTCACTTGAAGAAATCGAGTGGGCCATGGAAGATGCAAAAGTCCAGGAGGAAGAGAGAGAAATTCAACAAATCCGAGAAAGGATACAACGAAGAAAGAAGGCAAAAGCAGCCGCAGCCGCTGCAACGTCGCCACCAACATCAAGAAATTAGCATTCGTCCTGGTCTGGTCAGAAAGTCCCAAAACACCGAGAGGTCATAGATCACACACGGCAATATTAGAAAAACATTAGAACGAATCGAAACGTGCAATCTATATTTCGCTGTGCGATGCTGTTCAATCGATCGAATGTTGTTCTAAGAATTCCTATTTGCCTCCTCAACAAAAGAAACAAACGTTTGAATAACTGCTACTACTGGTGTCACGACTACAGAATTCGAAAGACTTTGACCTTTGTGCCGATATCGAGCATTGTCTTTCATGAATGGTAATTGCCTTCATCCCAAAAAGAAATGTTCCATGGGGTCGAAAGGGCCAGACCAATGTTACGACCATCCTGAGCATCCTCGACGAGAGTGTCGTTGTCGTTCGGTAAAGTGGGTCCAACATCAGGATGGAACAATCTGAGGATTCTCGCGCTAATTGAAACGAAACTGTCGGCCTCAACGAGGGTGTGTCACTTGGTCTGGAGAACACAAGACAGCTAGGTTCAAGGTTGTCGCTTGCTCGGTGCATCCTGGTTGGCTGCATTTGATTTGAATTTGCATTAGGACTGTAGGTCGTATATTTACTGTAGAGAAGCAGGATTACATTTTAATTTCCCAACTGTCAAAAGTTTGTAACAACAAAGTACGACTAGGTGTATTTTATAGTTGGTCTAGCTTCATCGAAGAAGCCCATACTGTACAGTAGTGTCCGAAATACTGCATACGGCATGAGCACGTGACGTGAGTAAAAGCATAAATGTTAATCGTAAATTCCTAGAGTCCCGCGCCTTTCTAGACGCGTTCAGAAATATGAGAAATAAACTCAGCCGCAGACACATATTTCAAATCACAATTTTATGAAACAAGAAGAAGCAAAGATGTGCAAACCAGCCGACGATCACAACAGCACCAGTGAAACTTTCCACCATAGCAGACCGAGTCTTGACAGATCACAAGGAACATTGAGTGTTTGTCCACCTCCAAAGGCAGCGCCAATTAGACATCCAAGATACGAAAAACGAATCTCCATCGATCTGATGCCGATGACGCTCGAAGAAATTGAGTGGGCCATGGGAGATGCAAAGATTCAAGAAGAAGAAAGAGAAATACAAGAGATTAGAGAAAGACTGCGGAAACGAAAGCAGGCAAAAGTAGCAGCGGCGGCGGCAGCCATGGCAAATGCACCAACATCGTCAAGGGAATGAAGCCTGAACCACGAATCGAATATTCAATAGAAACGATTAAAAACTAAAGTCTTACTAATCTCCAATTGACTTGATTGTGATGCTAGGGCAGCGAGTCTTCAAAAAAGCCAATAGACCTTCTTGCAAGAGAGGTGGTATTTGCCCATTTTCGACGGCAATAGGAAGTGACTCGTCGAAGTCATTCTCTACTCTTGTATCTCTTCGGTCGACCAGGGACTTTGCAAGAGGCAGGAATGGAAGAGGGTGTTCCGAAAATAGGACAGCCGATCGGAATGCATACGCGGGCACTGGTTCAACATCACCTTCCAGATGGTACAAGATGTCTCTAATACGAAGCTTTGGCTTTGTCTCTTCTTCATAAGCGTCGGCCCATTTCACATCACTTGTCGACTCAAGCTTTTGTTCTTCTAATTGCTGAAAAACTTCCTTCACTACCTTGTTGGCATACTCGTCGACTGGTTCGAAAACCGTTTGTTTTGACAGAAATTCTGATTGTCCGTGGGATGGGGCTAGTCCGAGGTCCATTACCGTCAAAAGAAGGCGCACGAACCAATCCGAGTCGTTAGAGTCACCACCTGACGAGAAGGTGAGCAGTGGTGGTCGCATAATACAGAGTGAACCTTGATGCTTCCGACTCCCATACATCAGTGCAGTTTCTCCAAGTAGCTTACTGATGGTATACGGCTGCTGGCGCATTGTGGAAGAGGAGTAATAAAGACCAGCTTCCCCAACACTTGTTCCTTCCGACAATCCATTTTCGACAGACTTGGTAGATGTGTAGACGACTGGTATGGTTTGGCGCCCAATTTGCTTGGCACATGCCGACAGGCGGGAGATGGAAACACAACTTTGAGTGTTGGTATACAGCATCTCATGTGCGTCGCCGAAAGCAGTGTCTAAGCTCCACATTTTGACCTGTGCGGCCGCATGGACGATTGCATCCGTATTGCAAGCGAGCATATCATAAACCTGCTGCTCAAGACCAAACTTTTCAAGCGAAATGTTGCCTGTCAGAATATTCAAACGAGCCAATAATGGTTCTTCATTCATACCAATTGATGAAAGCACACTGATCACACGCGACCGTGCGTCCTCATCAGATTTACCCCTTACAAGACAGGTCACTTCTGCGCCCCTCATTAATAATGATCGAAGGACATGCCGTCCCAGAAAACCAGTAGCACCAGTGAGAAAGATCCTCTGTAATTCAGAAGAACAAGTTGATTCCGCGTACTGGCATCGTTCAAACGACAGTGGTATCTCGGCATCGACAAGCCGAAATAGTTCTGATTCAAGTTTGTCGATATTGTGCGCATGCTGTTTGAATTCAGCTCTTTTTGAAAGCTCTTCGCCATTCATGTTAACAGAGTGTGATGACATCGGGATTGGAGGTTCTTGCTTTCCATCTTTAGTAGTTGCCTTTTCTCTAGCAATCGTCCGGTTTGAATTTTTCACTTGAGAAGAAGGGTCTTCTTGTGGTGTGCGAAGATCGGTTGCCTCCATAGCTACCTCGGAAGCTACAGGCACAGATCCTAATCCTGCACTGGGCTGACTCACTATGACATCAGTCATCCATCCAGCAACATCCATCATATTCTTTTCACTCAAGTTAAAGAATGGCAACTTTGTTCCTGAGTGCCCTCTTTGAGCCAGGGACTGCCGAACGAAGGAGCGAAGTTTGACTGGAGTAAGCTTGAGATGTTAGCCTCATGAAATGTAAAAGAATAAGACGAGGTCTGATTGCAAAACTTACCCCACAAAAGTGAATTCACTCCCAATATCTCCAAAGGCAACGATGTAATATCTTCTGCATCATCTTGCGAGCCTCTAGGAATTCCGATAGCGTCGATCAAGGCCAGCGCTGTTTCCTTCTCCTTGTTCACAGCGCCTATCGAAGAAGCAATAGGTCCAACATCATTCATCTTATCAGCTTCAATCAAGAGGTCCTTCACCCGATCATACACACGCTGCCTAATCAACTTTCCACTAACAGTATAGCAGCCAGTCGTTTTCCAAAGACGCTCGTTTGATGAATCATCGGGATACTGATCGCCGCCTTCGTCAGCTATCAACTGGCGAGGAATGCATCGTTCGTCAATGTTTGACTCTCGGCACCGACGCTGCACTTCCAGTAAAACATTGCCGTCATCGGCTGCTTGCTGAAATGACTCGAGGACAAGAGCGACGGTACCTTGCAACGTTGAGGTGACAATGAATCCAGAAATACCGTACGGTGTCAAGTCGCCAATGGAAGTCTCCACTCGGTGTGGCGAGAAAAAGATACCATCTGGCAACTTCACAAGTGAAGATACTCGATCGATAATGCGAAAAGAGTTGGCGTCTGGGTGGTACTCTACGATGTCACCAGTACAATAGTACCCATCATCGGAATATTTCTTTCTCTGGTCCTGCACGGTTTCATCTTCCCCAAACCAATCACCCATACGAGCAGTCTCTTTGCCAAGAATCAATAGTTCCCCACGAGGAAATGGTTTGTCGTCCATTGTGTACCCAAGTACAGGCCGACTTTCGACGCGGAATTTCATTCGATGATGTGGTATCAGTCGGTCGTCATTATGATTTGCAATTGCAATTCCACCACCTTCTGTGGAGCCGTAGCCTTGATAGATTTCACAGGGAAGAACTCGCGAGAGAAATTCGATATGTGATTGATTGACCATGGCACCACCAACCGAAATCACCTCGATGGATCCCCCCAAACAAGAGTACAAATATTCTGCCGCCTTTGCTCGAGCCCAATGTTGGCGTTTTTCGATTGTGTTATCGTCATCACTTGGGTGCGCATTGTACTGCCGAAAGAATTCAAACGCCTGCGAGTATTCTTCCATCAGATCTGTCACCATTGCTGGGACGAATGATAGGCGCCAAGTCGGCTTGATGGAATATAAATGATTCCAGATCGACAATGACAACGCCTTTGATCTCGCTGCTGCTGCTGCTGCTGCTGCAAAGCCAATTCGACCTCCGGCCAACATGGTCTGCCAGACAATGTCGTTGCCACTCGCCCAAGACGGACTACTCTTCAGACACCCAACAACTGGGTGGTCAAAGTTTGCCGTTGCGTTGGATTCACGAAACGCACTTTCCCAAACCAATACTCCTTTGTGATCACCGGATCCACTGGTGCCACTGGAGAATAGTCCAAATAGGTATTCATCTGTAGGAAGTGCTTTGTTTTTACTGGAAAAGGACTCGACTGTCTGTATGGCAAACTTGGTCGATTCTTCCTTCCACCATTCGGATGCATCGGCCATAAGCATCTCCAAGGAAGCCTTTTCTCCTTTGTAGCATTGAAAGGCTTGACCAATATTTCCAATGTCCTTGTTTGGTTGGAATGGATCACTTGCAATTACAATGACTTTTTGGATGCAAGCTGGCAGCCTGTGAGCAGTTGCATCATCCGTCATGAGCATTTGAAATCCTTGGGGATCTAGCAACAAGGTGGAAACCTTTGCATTGTCCAATGCCCTCCAGACATCATTCGCCTTCCAGCTAGTGTCCATGGCAACCGATATTCGACCAAGGGAAATGCAGGCCATTTGCATTGCAAAAAAGATGGGACTGGCTGACGACAGTATTCCAACCTCTGGTCGCAACAACAATGAGTTTGACAATGCCGACTGGCCACTGCTGTCTCCTTCTTGTGGCAGTGATAATAGCTTCTGAATAGGCAGTAGTACTGGTATCATTCCATTGGCCAGCGTACAGACAACTTGCCAAACCTGTTGGTACGTGAACCATTGATATGGAATCTTGGTGAGATGGAATTGTTGGCTATTCACATTCCCATGGCTGCTGTGGTCATTGTTGGATGCTGCTGAATCTTCTTGTGGAACACCAAACAAGGGTCGGTTGCGATAGGCCCTGTCTAAAAAGCGAGGCAAGAGCGTTCGGAGTGTAGTTGGGTTTGATTTCTTCTTTTCCTTTGGTGTTTTGTGTTCCGCCAAACCCATGGCTTGTCGTCGCAATCCAAAGGGAGAATCATGCTCCGTGACGAGCATATGGTCGCAATATGGCCAAATGTGTAAAAGTTCTTGCTTGGCCACATCCAAAAAGTTTGTGTCGTTGTGTCCATCTGTCGTAGTCAAGAATAAGGGAAAGGCATCGTCTACAATGGATTCGGCGCGGCAGGTCATTTTGTAACATTCCGAGCACATGACAGCTGTTCTAAGAGAACTTTCAAAGGACCGCACTCGGTTCTGATTGGCCGGAATGGTTTGATGACAAAGGCGGCATTGATCGTCCAAGGTGGATGAATAGGAGTTATCATTGGAATGCTTTCGATTATCGTCTCCACCAATCGAGACGGAAAGGGTCATCTTGCCCGTGGACTCGTCCATTTCCGAGGTTGCAAAGTATCGTAATTCCCATGGAGCTCGTTGCGTGTCAAGTTCATGTGCCTTTTCGTCCAATGCCAGGACCGCAGCACTGTATTTGGATTCCATGAGTGTGTCCAATGTTTGGGCGATATCCGAAGCATCAACCTTGGCTTCAATCTCGTCATGTTGTCGAGCGACTTGTTGGTATCTTGTAAATTCAGTCGTAATGGTACCTTTTGGATACGGCTGGCCACTTTTCAAATGCCGTTCCAACCGATTCATGGCTTCCTCAAAAAAGATGGCAGCAAGCTGGCATTCTTCTTCGTACTTCTCCCAGTAGTTTGCTTTCAGTTCACGCACTTCGCTGAGTGCTTCCTTCACTTGCAAACCAATTTTCAGGACCTCTTTGCCCAATGGTTTAAGACCCTCGTGCAGTTTTGGGATGGCCTCTTGTTCCAATCGTTTGGCTTCTGCCTGTCCTTCACGAACCAGATCCGGAAGATGATGACGACCTTTCGTTTGGTCATTTCGTTGTATTCGCCCAGAATCACGCAACATATCTGAATAGGATTTTAAAAGATGTGATGATCACTCAAAAAGGGCAAGAGAGAGGAAAATAATCTTCAAGTCTACAATTTCGTTGAAGTGTGTCCATCAATTCATTGTGGGATACGTCTCATCTCGAGTCATATGGTGTTGAAATGAAAGTGGCGGGTTTCATCATACAGTATGTATATTATTGCGATTTGATTTTTGATTGATTTTATTTTTATTTTTATTATTGACGCGGCATTGCTCCCGACTAATATGACTGAAATTTTCGACTTGTTGCAGAAAGGTTCTGAAATAGTTCAAAGATCATCACAGAAAGGTTCTGAAATAGTTCAAAGATCATCACAGAAAATAAGAAACAGAATCGTGCGATCCTTAGACCTACTGCTGTAGTATATCACAGCGCACAACACCGCAACCCACAACAACAATACGGCTCACATGTCTGTATTAGAACGATACTTGGTTCATTCCAAAGAAGGATTTGTTGACTTTCATTTGGAAGAATTCAGTGACGATGATGAGTCTGATGAGGAGAATGAGAACGAAATAAGAACCAGTAATAATAATCGTAACAATCATGCTGCCGAGCTTGACATTCTGGAGGAATTGTGCCATTCTCCAATTTCCAATCCACGTTGTTTCAGTATTGATGTTGGAGCATGGGGTAATGATGATACTGTTAATGATACTGATGACCACCAATATATTAATAATGCAATGGTGGAAAGCATCCAAAGGGTATTCCATCATTTTGCCGAGAATCAGATTCTATGGAAAACCTTGGACTTGCATTCCGTTCAAGACCATGCCACGAGATCGATTGGTAGGCTGGTCGAAACTTCCAGTCGCTTGAGTTTGTTTCGGGAAATGGAAATATCCATTGTTTCGTTTGCACAAAATATTGACGGCATTTTCACCGGAATTGAACAGAACCAACGTTTGGAACTGTTGGAGATTCATATGCAAGGAGACGCCTTTTCCGAGGCGGATGCATTCAGTCTGGAACGACTGCTGACGACTACCAAGACGCTACGGACGCTTCGAATATGTGGAGTCATGAACCTTCGTCTTGAATCACTCGGTCGGGGACTCGCGGCCAACACTACCTTGGACTCTCTGTCCATTGACCTATCGTCAGCTGTTGACAACGACTCTCTGAATACATTATTTTCTACCTTGGCAACGCATCCTTCGCTACAATTTTTGGAAATGACGGCCAGCAATGCCTGCCGTGAGTCTTTTGTCAAGGGTCTCAATACATTACTTTCGTTTTCAAAATCCTTGGAGCACCTTTCGTTGAGCAATTTCCATGAAAATGGAAGGCTTGCATTGGAGGAAGTAAGTGACGGTTTGCAACAAAGTAGATCCCTCAAGGTGATTGAGACTTATAGCGCTCTTCGTGGCGACACAAACATGTCGACGATATTCCAACTGCTTCCGGATTGTCCCACATTGGAACGACTCTACTTTTACGAACAGTGCATTGAACAGCAAGATTTGGAGAAACTCAAAAGCATGAAGAGACTTGACAAACCAGTCACTTTGTTTCTCAGTGCCCACATTATCAATTATCTAGCCAAAACGATCCAAGAGGTATTGCACTGTCATCCGGAAATTCAGCTCATTGCCCACGATCTTGGAAAGGCGGGCAAGTCTCTCAAACACTTGTGTGATTTGAACCTCCATGGAAGGTACCTCTTGGATCGAAATGTACCCTTATCTTTGTGGCCACATGTACTACAAAAATGTGCTACCAAGGAAGATGTACTATACTTTTTCTTAAAGGGACCAGCGTTCGCGGCAAGATAGCAATTTCATGGTTATTATTATTATTATCATTTTGAGAGGAGATGCTTTGCCGCAATGGTTCCGTGAAGTGGTTTGTTCCAAATGTATCAGGCTGTGATTATTGGGCACAAATCGTGGCAAGCAATATGGCATGGCAACACATTGCTATCCCGTACGTCAAGGTATGGTCTGGATGACACAGATGGATAGTATGCGCAAAATGAATGTCGATGAGATCTTCCAATTATGGTTTGCTTATTCCAAAGTACGATCATTATTGATGATTGCCAACGATGCCCCTTTCGGAATCTTCCATCGGCTTTCTCAGATAACCCAAGACGAGTGGAACCACAAACTCCGAGCCGGACTGACTCCGACAGGAGGAGCGAACAGCGCAGTGCTCTGCGTCGTCTGGAAAGGCGTCGCAAAATTTCCGTTTGCGCTTGTTGTTGCCAGTATTTTTATTTAGACTATTGGTATTAGTCACTTTTATCAGCTTTGCTTTCCACATGGCAAGCTCCAATATCGTCAAGGATTCCTTATTTTCACGAAATTCCAGCTTTTGAAGTAATCTGCTTACATCTTTCTTGGGATCGCAGCCACCAATGGACTTTACTGTAGTCTGGAATTCTGACACCCAAGCTTCATCGGGTCGCAACGCGTGTAGGCGGTCATGTAGAACCATTCCGACAATCAGTTGAAGAGCCTCAACGTTCAAGCTTCCCATTCGCACTCGTTCGAGTAGTATACCCATTGGAGACATGCCAAGAATATTATGTTCGTTCAGATCTACTCCTGGATACCTTTTGAATAAAAAGTGAAAGATTTCTGTATTTAGCTTGTGGGACAATGACAAGATGTGAAAGGGGTTCAAGAAGAAACAGTCGGCCCGGTAGCCGCTTTCATAAACATCATTGTCTTCCATGAGAACTTCCAGTTGCTGCCGAATAATGTGCGTTGAATGAGTCCACTGAATGTAACATAGCTTATGAATTGGAAGATGGTCGAATCGCCGTTGCAAATTATTATAGTCCGGACCGCCAAAGCGGAACATGAGGTCATTCTCTGCAAAGGCTATTCTCTGGGGCTGCTTCAACGGCAAGTAACAGTTCAAAAGCTTCTCACAGCCGGCGAAAACATTACTGCGTAGCAAACAGCACTGGGCCGTCTCTGGAAACTCCACTGATAACAGCTTCTTGCAATCACCAAACGCAAACTCGTCGATATTCTTGATGGTCGGAGGAAGGCGGACGCATTCGATGGCTCGACAGGAACAAAAGGCACCTTTGCCGATGTAGCGGAGTCCATCGTTTAGTTCTAGTAGTCGCAGATTGATACACTTGAAAAAGGCTCGGCTGCCAATCCGCAGCAACGCTTTGGGCAGTGTTGCTTCTTGCAAGGATGTGCAAGACTCGAACGCTTGTTCTTCAATCTTTTGCACGCTCGATGGAAACTCGACACTGATCAAGGAGATGCATCCAATGAAAGAACCGCGTCCAATAACTTTGAGACTACTGCTATCGAAATGAACTTTTTCGTCATTGCTCAACCCAAGTTCCACAGTCTTTAGGGAGACGCACCCTTCAAATGCCCGTTCCTGGATCTCCATCAAACTTCTTGGGAGACAGATTCTGATTAAGGATGCCAAAGAGCGATGTTGAACCATGTTCGTTTGTAGTGTTTGCACACCATACGCTACAACTGCCAGACCGAAAGGACATTGCGCCCTGACTTGAGCGGGGGTCTGTAGCATGGCTCGTGCAAGATGGAAATCATATTCATGTGTTAATATTCCGGTTGCCGAAGGCGAGTTCAGATGTGGTTCTCTGGGTCGTCCTCGTAATAAGCATCTCATCGTTCTCTTATTCTTCTCAACAAGTACGCGTACATGGAATCGATAGAGGGAAACAAGGGGATAGAATAGGAACTTCTACACCGGTCTGGGCATAGGAATGATGCGACAACACGGATCGATGAAGCCTGAGTTTTGAAGTATGAGCATACTGTATAAAATATTATGGCTATATGTGCACGTGTGTGCAATGATGTTTTCAATACAAGTATTTATGCGGTCATCTCATCGTCCGTTCAACTGACGATTGTTTTCTCCGTTCTCCATGTATCTGTTCCAGACAGCTACTCGGAGTGGTCGATACACTAGCTAGGACCTGAGTATATACCTGTACCGGTATACTGTACGGTAGCATAATGTTTGTCTACCGCATCCCCTCATAAATGAAAATCAAATGTTCCAATTTTCAATGTATCTTTGACGTATCTTTGATAGGACGTATAAAGTACTTTCATAGATGCTGGCGTCAGCGGTGACTGGCAGGTACCATGCTGGCAGTGCTTTCTTGGGGTACCCCAAACCCCAGACACAGGCTTAAACTTGTTGCCGTCACATGCCTCCAAGGTAGACCCTCTTTCATGCCCCCTAGCAATATGTCTGGGCTTACCTTTTGCCCCCACCACTTCACTTGCTCTCGCTAAAGAGCTTCGACGCAAGAACGCTAAGTAAAAGCTACGCAAATTTAACTAGCCCCTTTTCGTGGGCGGACTAGTAACGGCTGACGCCAGATCAAGCATATTCAATATGGCAGTAACAGTTTAGCACTACACTCCTCACATGGGCAATCCAGGAGTTTAAGCGATGCTGAAGCATCATGCTGAACGATATATTCAAAAATGGTTAGAGTGTACGTAAAGAAACGATGTTGTTTTTAGTGTTTCAAAGTTGTCGCACTAATTTTACTAGCTACGCGCTCCATCTTCTGTCTTCTTCTTTATTCAAGGGAGCAGGGTGCTGCGGACAAAACGACCTTCGACGGAGTTTTCTGCTTGTCTTGTGCCGCAAATGATCAAGCTCAGAGCGAGTGTACCAACAGGCCTCGACTTCTGTGGGTGTGTAGTTTTGAAGGCACATGATCGAAGCTGTCAATGTTACGGGGGCGAAGCGAACCACCCGTTGGTTATCCTCATCGTCCTCTGTTGCAACGGTAGCTGCGGTGGACACCGAGGATATCGATACCTCCTTCTTGTTTTGGAGTCGGAAATCGCTGAATAGAAGCTCCTTCAAACAGCTGTCCAAACATTTCGACGACGACTCTGGTGAACTTTGTGCCGCGCAGGCTGCATGCTCGGACTGACGCTGAGACGAGGACGAGCAGTTGGCGAGCGATGACAATGAAGACCGTGATGCCCTTCTTCTGGGCATCCTCATCGGTAGGTCTCGAATGCTTGGTGCTGAGTACAACACATTGTTTGTAGAAGGGGTATGGTGCATTCTTAAATTTATCTGCCAAGTTCTTGGAAAGTGCGAAGATCACTTTATGAGAATGTTCCAGTGGACAATTTTAAAAAGCGGGGTTTTATGCCAAAACAATTCTATCGGTCTTTTTTTCCTGCTCCTCGAACAAACTCTTGCTCGAACGCGCTCATTTTGGTAGATTCGTAGATACGGTACAGCATGGAGTGGTTGTACTGGTACGTGTCTTCTGCTTTATCTATTTTCACGTGGACCTTGGCCGACTAAGTTTGTTCCCACCAAACATTACCGGTACCGCATTTTCTTCCGTATTCGGACCAAGATAGCGCTCAACACCATTGAAGTTCGATTCGCCTGTTGCTCGATCTGTTTTCACGTGGGCCTTGGGCCTACCAATTTTGTTCCCACCAAACATTGTACACGGCCTTTTCTTCTGTACTTCGAACTGGATAACGCTGAACATCATTGAAGTTCGATTCGCCTGCTTTGCTAGGACTGTTGTCACGCACTGAGCCTACCCATCAAGTTCGTTCCAACCAAACAACGTAGTAACAAGGGAATTTCATTTTTAGAATCTATTCCTGTATAATTTCGCGCCCATGTTCAAACTATTCTGCTCGGTAGATTGGCCCACAAGCACACTGGAAGCAATTCTTCATTTCTTCGCAGTGCTGCATAGTTCTTTTACACTAGAGCGAAGCAATCTTTCATTGCGTCAACAGCCGTGTCCTTCCACTGCGTGTGGCAAGTGAAGTAGCACAGTTGCCGTCGAAAGAAGGTGTGTGGCAAGACCAGTTGGTTTCCTCGTCCTCCTCTGCTGTCGCAGTAGCTAGCTGCGGTGGATACCGACGATGCCGATTCCTCCCTCGTGGACAATAAACGCATCACATCATACCAGTAATGCATCGCGAGTTCTGCTAGGTAGAGCCCTTTTTTCACGTGGGTCACCGGCCGACTGCTGGTTTGTTCCCACACAAAATCTAATAGGACCTACGGTAATACTAAGAGACATTTTTATCAATTTTTAAATACATTCGGGTAGTCTTTCGCGCCCATGTTCAAACCATTTTGCTACATTGGCCCCCAAGCAAGGATAGATTTCCCAGCACACAGGAAGCAATCTTTCGTTCTGCGCAGTCACGACCTGCTATCTGTCATTTAAGGCTTAGGTACTACGGTACGATCGAAAGTGAGTAGTATAACGCTTTTCGTGGGATCTTTTCTTCCTGCAATCTTCTTGATGAGACATTCGAGTGATGTTTTCAAAGGTCTCCTTCTTAGCATGGTGCATTCTGACTCTGAAGTTAGCATCGTTATTGGTGTCCGATATGCTTTATCAATTTCTTTTCTGGTCTGTGAACTGGAAAAAATGACATTTTCTTGAGCAAACAAAATTTGAGACCGTGATGAATGACGGTGGATCGTCGTTGAACGTGCCAGAATTGGAACGAGAATGCATAACTGCCAAGAGCAACTTCAGCCCTCTAGAGGCAGCAACTACGTCAATTGTTGGGATCATCCCGGCTCTTGGCTGCAAATTGGACTGCTTCTCGGCACTCGGGAAATCATTCTGGGGTCTCCTCACAGGCAACTAAATTCAGATGAGAAGCGAGATAGTGTAGCAGTGTGAAACAACTGGAATTCTGGAATTTTTAAAAACTGTCTTCTATTATAAAATTGATCAACTGTATTTGCTTGATGCTTGTTTCAAAATCGCACAATTCAAAATCGCACAAATCAATGCGAAGGCTCCGCACTCCATCTTTTGTCGTTTCTATTCAAGAGTAGATAGCAAGAATCCCTTTTCGGGTGACTTTTCTTGTTTGTAGTACTGTAACGCATCGATTTGATATCGTCACGAGAGTACCAACAGGCCTCGATTTCTTCGGAAGTGTATTCCCGAAGTCCAATGCTGGTGACAATCGCATTTTGTGATGAGGGGACAAAACGAACGCCCCTTTCCGTTTCATCATCCACTGTCTCAACAGCGACAAGAAGTGCGGCGGACAACGAACTCAGCTCGCCACAAGTGAGGTGAACTCTGTCGTTGCCAAGTGGAGTATCTGTCTCGCAGTTGTCCAGCCAATGCATCGAGGATTTTGGCGAATAAAGCACTGGACAGGTCGAACGCTTGAAAGACGATGATAGCAATTGGTGATGAGACTTGTCCGGCGATGTGAGAGAATTGGATGATGCTCTTCTTCTTGGCATTCTCATAGGTACGTCTTTGCTAACACGTGTAGGGCACAATGATGTACTACTCAACAGGGAGGGATGGGTGCTGACGCTTGTTTGCTGCTTCATTCTAATGATTGCAGTAAATTATGGAATGGATTGATTTGCCTAACTTTGTGAGTCTAAAACGCATTCCCGTGTTGATTCGACGCCATTTCTTTTGTCTCAAAAGAAAGGACAATCTGCCACCAATCCATAGTGGATTGTTGAACCTGCAACGAAAGTCCGCGAAAAGTGACCTTCGTGGTTCCGAAAAACGACCCACAACATCGAAAACCGGATATTCTTTGCAAACGGTTCCACGTATTTTGGTGCTTCGATATCCCTTCGGAGTATCCTTTAGCTCCCGCTTTCTCCTTCAAAAGGATTTCACAACCATTGTACCATATATGTAACTACCAGTACAGTACCTGGTACTGTAGCTGCAATGAATCAAGAGCTGTTTTGGTGCTCCGAATGTCCGGAATATACTGTATTTGACTCTTGTGTTGTGTGTTCTTCATCTCCATCATTGTCAGTTCGTTGTGATTTTGGCCGCGTTCTTCACTAGAGCGAGAGGCTTCTGCTGGCATGGAAGAGGATGCCTACAGTATAGTACCTGGTACAACATGCCCCCGTTTTGGATATTTAGTCCCGCAGTACTAGGGTATGAGATCTCTTTTACTCCATGCAATCGTAAAACCAGGCTTATCATCGTCAAGGCACAGGCAGGTATGTCGATGTTGTTGGTTGAGAGGCAAAACGGACGCCCCTTTCTTCTTCTTCTTCTTGGTCGTCAGCCTCAACGACAACTGTAGTTGCGAATGAAAACAAGCTCAGTTCATCACTGCTAGCAAGGTGGAATTTGCTGCTCGCCGTCGCATAGCCGCAGTGTAAGCGACGTAGTGAAAAAGCTGATGAAAATTCGACCGGAGGATGAAAGAAACTTGGATAGAGGCTCATTGACAAGGCGTCCGAATGATGATGCGGACGATCGGGTATTTCTCTACAGCATGGAGAGGACCGCAGTCCAGCTGCCTGGCATTCTAGTATCCAACATTGTAGTTGAACAAAAGTTGTGCGCCCTCAAATTTTATTACAGAACGCTGTACATACAGTACCTATAAAAGCTGCCGGTACTATGGGATGCTATTTCTGAAGTATGGAGGAAGCACATCTATATAGAAATTTCTTACCTATTTTCAAGAAAATCGATGAGCATCCATTTGCCCAGGAATCTTGAATTGTAGTTTTTTTACCGTGTTTGCGATTTCTTTTCTCCATTCCTTATTTTGTATGCAGTTTGTCTGTCATGCCAAAACGCTACTTTGTAAAAAGCCATCATTAGAACACTTGTCCAGTGGATTGTTGAGCCTTGGTGTTCCGACAGTTTATCCATCTACAATAATAATGGAGAATCTTTTGTGTTGTTCACTTTTCATCTATTCTTTCTCACCCGCTAATTTCCTGCCAAAGCACGTCACAAACACCGCACCATGCAAGCAAGGTACAATAATACCGGGAGCCAACCTGCTCTTGCTCACTTTTTGCTTCAAATGTCCGAAATCCAGTTCTACTATGTAGACACTATTTGTGTACGGTATTCTTGTTAAAAGGCCGTGTTTTACTTCTTGAGCACCAAAGAGGGTTCCGGGGATCTTGTCACAACATCGCTGCTTCAAAGCACCAGGCATAAGTAAATATGAAGTGGCAGACGCTCGGCCGCTGGATAACGTGGTTTGGAACCACTAGAGGGTTCAAGTTCACTTCAGCTTTACAGCCTCAACTGTCTCGCGCACCACAAGCGAAGGAGAGGCGAAAAGGGGGAAATAGAGAAGAACATGTGAAGACGGCATACTTAGTTTTTACACTATGGAGTATCAACTCCTGATTAGGCCTGAATGGATACCGTCCCGATGAGAGTAGCCGTATAAGTTTTGAATTGGTCAACATGCCGTTTATGCTGGACGTTTTGTTGCGAAACCTTCAATCAGCTCTTGCCAGTAGCAGGGCGGTGAGTTCACCTTTTGGTCCTTGATACATGTGCACTGTCCACGATGACAGTACTCCCGTAAACCCTTCGAGTTCTTCCTGTTTGTAGCCAAGTGAAGCTCATACGCTCCATCGTGTGTCTTCTCGTTTCAAGATTTTGCCCTGGAGGCGCTTGTTCTTCTTCGTAAAGAGCTTTCTCGCTCGTTTTCGCTTTCTCTTTTCTCGCATGTATCGAATGTCGTCGAGGGAAAACCAACATGCCTCGAGCTCGTCAGGTGTATAATCGTCAAGGCACAGACAGGTAAATGTCGCTGTTGTTGGTTGAGGGGCAAAACGGACACCCCTTTCTTCCTCTTCTTCGTCGTCAGCTTCGATGACAACGGCGGTTGCAAATGAAAACAAGCTCAGTTCATCACTGCTAGCAAGGTGGAAACTACTGCTGCTCGGCTTCAAGTCACCTGCCTCATACCCACCGTCTAAGCAACGAAGTGACAAATCTGATGAAAAGCTTCGACGGGAGGATGATAGAAATTTGGACAGTGGCTTGACGAGGCGTGGGAGTGATGATATAGAAGGTTTCCTCGTCGGCATTGCCATTGGCATATCTCTACAGCATGTGGAGGACTGCATTCTGGCTGGCATCTGAGGATGTGCTTTCCACGTGGTTGCTGAAGAAAAGTTGTGAGCTCTAGTTTTTTAAAGACAAAATGGCCCCGGTATTGGGAAGCGCGGTCGTGGAACGTTGTTGGAGTTCGTTACTTGCGTTTCGTCTCACTACGTAAGTACGTGTACATGTACGGTGCGGCATGAGATATAGACCAGAATTCGGAGAATAATATGGAAGCTTGTGCAAATTGTCAATTGTTTTCGCAACGAACATGTAAATTGGGATATGTATTTTGGTTTCACAATAAGCGTTGTGGTGAAGGAAGACATAAGTACACGTACACGTGTCCACGTCCCTAAAGGTTGCTGGATCGGAACGACTGAGAGCCAAGGGTCTTTCCACTACTAAATCATGGAGATGGCGCTTAGAGGGGTTGAGGTATAGCAAAGGCGGCTCTTCTCAAGAATAACAAGGAGTATCCATTATCCCGGGAACCTTTCCACAATATTTTTGTTAGAACCGCCCTATACATATGTTTCGACTTCTTTTGCCCATTCCTATTGCGTGGTATACATTTTGGCGTGAGGCAACACGAAGGGCGGTTCCATTTGTTTTCAGGAATCTGAAATCTCGGGAACAAGCACGATGTTTGTTACTAGGCCTACCGCCGTATGTTCAATTCGTGCGACTTCTAATCTCAATTCCTGTTTTATAAGCTCTACCGGTGTGTCTATGTGAACGGCCGCCTAGTGCTATGTTCATTGGCATTCCAAAGCGATATATATGATGAGCCAAAGTGACTTTTAAAAACATGATGAGCCATTTCGTAGTTTTGAGCCACCTGCTGTTGTATGAAAAAAGTACAGAACTTCCAACAACGTTGAGCATGATTATTACGAGGGGTCTAAAATTGCTTTAGTCCTATTATATATAGTGTGTATGTATTATTTTAATATATGGTTGTTGAATTCAAAATCGGTAGGGAAACGGAAAATTCCTCATGCAGTCCATCGTGCGTCTCTGTGAAAGAAATCGTCCCCCGATCTCTGCATTCTTTTCCAACTCGTCTTTCGCCTTAGAGCACTCTTTTCTTTTTGAGAATACCAGCAGGCTGCGTGTTCGTCGGTTGTGTAGTCATCTAGGCCCAATACCGTGTTTATTTCAGCGGTTGGTATTGGGGCAAACCGAACGCCCTTTTCTTTGCCGTCGACTTGCGATGTGAAACAATGGAGATTGTATCGGCATTTATGTGTGCCATATAGTTTGAATTCTTGGCTACCATCAAACTGTGGACATGATAGATCGGATGATTGGACTTCTTCTTGCTGCAAGAACAATGTAGATAATCTTCGTGTCGGCTTCATAACTGGAACATCTCTTGGACTGTGCAATGCAGGCAGTGTGTTCGCTGTGCAGGAGAGATTCATTGTATATATCGTGCGTTGGTAAAGTGTTTTCAAAGCTGGATTTGTCCAAATTGTGAGCGGAAGGAGAACGGCAAATATGGTTTCTCGGGAATCTACATTAGTGTCACACATTTTTATCCGAACTTCGCGGGGAAACTATTTGTTTACCTTGCTGATATCGTACTGCGTACTAAAGATTCTCAATGTTTGATCGGAAAGATGGGTCAGCGTTTTGGGTTGCACGTGTCGCAACTACACTATGACAGCCAACATCTTTCGCTTTTAAACTGTGACCAAATATAGTGAAAATAGGAATCGAAGCTGCATTATCTTGGGGGCCAACTCCTTTCGTCCTTCAACACGCTAATTATTATATTGCGACAAAAGATGGTGGAAATAGAAAGGATGGTAATGAAGTAGCCTCTCCATCAGCCCAGCCTGTGGCACCTCGTTCTCACCTGTATTTGATGCGAAAGAAAACAATGTTATATATAGAAAACTGCATTCCAGAAGGTGGCTCTCGGCAGTCTGGTCTGTGTGACGTGTCGCGCCATTTTCCGTTATTCATTCATTCTTTCTTTCGTTCCCGATTCAGGTGAGAAGCAAGAGGATAGTGGGAATTCGACCACCATCTTTGTATGCTAAACGGAAACAAGAAATCAAGAGTCAATACTGATTTGCTCATGCGCATCACCGTGATTCGTGACTGGCAATTCTCCAACCTGCAAAGACGAAGAGGGAGACACAGCATGGCCAGATTAAAACAGCTACACTATAGCACAAATTGGTTCTATACAAAAACCCCATCATCATCTGAGCCGTCGTCAATAACGATTTCCTTTTGCCCATCTGCAGCAGTAGCAATGGCAACTCCGCCATTGCATTGTGATGTCGAAGAGACGCCATCTGGCTTGACATCCACGAGAGGAACAGCTGTTGACTTTGCTGACGAAGTGATGCCCGTAGCAACTACTGCTCGAGGTGGTGATGCTGCTGCAGACGCCATAACAGAGTTGGCAGCAGTGGTAGATTGCCTCACGGATGTATTGCCTGCAGGTGAAGTTGATAAAGTGGCAGCTGACTCATCCGTTAAAGAAGCCCCTTCCCTGCCAGTGAGCCTTTGCTCGTCAACTTCCATAGACACATCTTTAGTCTCGTCTTTGATGGAAGGCGAAGGAATATGAAAGTTTGGGGAAATCGTCTGCAAATATCGAATCAATTTGGGTTGGTCTTGAAGGCGGCTGGACGAAATGCTCAAGTCGGATGCCATCTTTTCAAATCGCTTCTGAGCTTCATCAAAGTTCACACTTGCGGGCAATCGTCTCCACCAACCAGTTGTAGTCTTCTTCGTGGCCTCTACTGGGTCCGAAAACAGAGCCGCAAGTTCATCATCGCCGCCCACTACATGGTGCACCAAGTCTTGAAAAGGCTTTAACTGCGACAAGAACTCGAAATCTTCCGTCAATGCATTGAATCCCGCCTTGACAAAGCCCATGAAAATAGCATCCCCTTGGCATGCCATGGTATGCTTAACTAGCAGGGAAGTACTCGGTCGAGAATTCTGTACGCATCCAGGAGCTCGAAAGGCAAATGGGACCGCACGGCATCGCAGGCACTGGTAGAACGCTGGAAAGCCATCCAATGCTGGTCCATTAACAAATGAGTGCTTTTGTAGTGCTTCGTCACTTGCCATGGGCACGGTTGCTCCATATGAAGCTCCATACGACGACTTCTTGGCGGGACTGGGAACTGGCGGTAGTGCCTCCAGAACACTTTGTGGAATTGGTACTCGTCTCAGCTTGGCAAACACCTTGTTGAAAAACTTGCGCTGCGACCCGAATACAAGGTTCTGGCACTGCATACTGTGAATTTTGCGGAGATCAGAAAACGCGCTCTTCAGCTCCGCAGGCACTCCTGGACAAGCTTGCATGTGATTGTACAAAGATGTATTGAAGGCAGATGCCATGTTGTCAGGAGCGCTAGGAAACGAACGACCAGAACCGACAAAGCCATGCTCTTCCAAACAATGCAAGCATTTCATCCCTGTAGCAAGCAATATAGTGAGCGCTTGAGCCAACAAAGAATATAACAAAACAAACAAAAGTGTACAATCTTTGTCTTACCAGCCATGCGTTGCGAAATGTTTTGCCTTCTATTTCCCCGAAAGTCCGCACTAGTGGGAAGCGCTGTTCCCAATTGCCGCATCGTCAAAAATACATAATCCGAAACGAGGAAGCGATCATCCTTGTCCATCAGATTGTCATTATCCTTCGTTGGATCCCATTCTTCCTCGGCTTTCTTGAGTACTCTTAGAGAATTCTCATTCGACGAGATTGGAAATCCAGCGCTACGGGAATTCTTCCGATTCGATTCTATAGCTGTCTCCACGGATGTGGAACGAGCAGAATCGGGCATCGCTGCTGCAGACATGGCGATTCCCGCCTCTTCCGACGCTTCGGCAATTTGCTCGACTGTGGGATTTTCCTGGCCCTCCACAATCTTGTCGGCAGCTCGCATTCGTCGCCAGAGTTCAAAGAAGCATTTGCGCTGACTCCCATACGGCAGTTGTTGCATTTGTTTGGAATGTATCTTCTTGAGTGCCGCCAACGCTTGTTTGATTTTGGTAGGAGTATTCGGACATTTGGCCAAGTGCAGGACAAAACTGTTGGAAATGGCCGAAGCCAAGTTATCGGGAGCAGACGAATAGCTCCGACAGGCATGCGTTGCAATATTCTTGTCATTGCAATGCCGGCAGCAGAATCCTGAAAATCCCAGTCGCATCAGCTTGGTCTTTTTGCCCCGAGACACAAAATCCAATGGACTGGCATGGCACAAGGCCATTTGCTTGATTGCCAAGAATGTGTAGTCACTGACCATCTCGTTATCCTCCTTGCAGGCCAATCGAACAGACAAATCATCTTCTTCTTGCAAGGCTTCTTGGAGAATTTGCTGGCACTCTTCGTTGGTACAGGGTGTCTTTTCCGCTTTGACTTGTGCTGGTGGTGGCATATTACTGCTCACTGACGACGTTGCTGACATGGGCTGATACGAAACTTGTCGCTGCCTTGGCTTGATGGTCAATTCGGGTTTGGTTACCTCCACCTTGTGTCTAGCTTGTTCCAATGGCAGTGGCTCCAAATTCAAATCTCGTGTAAACCGCAATCCCCCCGCCGTTTCCAACAATCCAATTCGTTCGCAAGCAATGTGATAATACATGACCGCACTGATTCCTTCACGACACCGCTTCCGTCTCTTGGTTGGATGCGCTGACGCTGATTCCCCCTCCCCCGATAGCCATTGAGATCCTTGGATCCGCATGGCCGCTGAAATGTATGGACACGTCTTGAAGTGCAATTGTGGCCGTTGACTGCACGAAGAATACAGTCCATCCATGGTTGCAGGATAGGAAACTGACCCCGGTGGCCATTGTTCGTACTTCATGGCATTGGTATTCAATTTCGATTCAAACTTTGGCAACAAGGCCCGAGCGCAATGGACGCAACGGATCCCCACCTTTCCCCGGGTGGTTCGTTGCCGTCGTCCCGATTGTGACATTTGGGCATCCATTTGGGTGGCCGAAAAGAATTCCAAATTTTGTCGGAGCCACTGTTGCATATCACTCAAGTAGATTTCGTCTTCTGGCATGGCCATGTGTTTGATGCCTTCGTAGTAACCTTCGTCTTTTGGATCCGGGTCCAATGGAATAGAACCTGATGTGACGGGACTTGCAGAAAGTATACTTGATGGAACCGGAATTGATGGTCCGCCTACTGCGATGGACTTGGATCGAGCGGCTGTTACTGAAAACCGATTGTAGCTCTTGACATTATTGGGAACCATCTTTCTCATGTCACCCAATTTCAAATATTCGTCCACATTTACCACAATCTTGGTAATGGTAACATCCTCTTTCATTTCCTCGTCTTCTTTTTCTTTTTCTTCATCAATATGAATCGGACCTTCCAAAATGGACACAAAGGATGGAATCACACCCTTATTGCCTGCCAACTGTTTTCGTAGCTGCCGTTTGCGTTTGCGCCTCCATTCTTTTTCGGCGTGTTTCTTGGTCAAGATTTGGACATTATCATTATTGTCAATATTGTCATTGTTGTTTTTGGTAGTTTCAACCTTGTCAAGTTTTTGCTTGTCATCTTGCTCCAATGACGACATTGTTGTTGTTGTTGTTGGCGTTGTTGTTGTTGTTGTCAATGTGGCCGATTGCTTTTCTCCTTCTTCTTGTTTTGTGTTCGACTTATTGGCACGACCAAAGAGGGCATGGGTAAAGGTCACGGTAGAAATAGAAGAAAGTTCCATTGGATCGAGATAGGAAGGTGATGGTGGTGATGGTGATGGTGGTGATTTCTTGAGTTCTTCGTTTCCAGTATAGGAAGACTTATTGGCAGTTGTTGTTGTACTTGTCTGGAAGAGTGAATGCGATGGTGGTGGTGGTGGTTTCTTAAGTTCTTCGTTTCCAGTATAGGATGACTTATTGGCAGTTGTTGTTGTACTTGTCTGGAAGAGTGAATGTGAATGTGATGGTGGTGGTGGTGGTTTCTTGAGTTCTTCGTTTCCAGTATAGGATGACTTATTGGCAGTTGTTGTTGTTCGTGTTTGGAAGAGTGAATGTGATGGTAGTGGTGGTGATGATGATGATTCTTTCCCGTCATCCCTACCATTTGGAACGGTTGTTGAAGGTTTGATCGTTGCCGGTGAATCCACCTCCATAATGGAACAATCGTCATCAACATCAACATCATCATCACCATCTTCTTCTTGTTGTTGTCCAGTTCCCATGGATGACTTGGTAGTCGTCCCATCAAGCAGTGGATTCGGCACTGGAACATCCTGACTGGCATTCGTAGTGTTGTTGTTGTTGTTGTTGTGTTTGTTTTTGTTGTTATTTGGATGACTTGATGGCTCGGTTGTTGTTGTGTTTGCTACGGAGGATGATGATTCCATAACACCATTTTGATGATGATGGTGATGTTGTTGATTCCTATTGCCATTGGTTTGCGATGAGGTATCAGTATCAGTATCAGTATCAGTAGCAGCCTCAAGCGGATTCCCAATAATGGGCGTCGTTGTTGTTGTTATGGCGTTTGTGGTTGCTGACATCCTATTATGGTCTGCTTGTGACAACGAACGTAAAGGATTGGATTGCATCGCGCCATTGCCATTATTGATGATGGTGGTATTATTGGACCGTGTCATATCATTGCTGTTGTCGTTATCAATATTAGTAGTAGTATCACCATTGGACCCTTCATTTGGATCGTGTTTGTTGTTGTCGTTGTTGTTGTTGTTGTTGTTGCTGTCGTTGCGATGACTGTTATTGGCGATAATATTATTATTATTATGATTGGCAGGATCTGCGTGCGATTGATTCGATGGAGTTTGGTAAGTACCTATGTTGTAACTAGTATGTTCTACATTAAGAATGCACATAATATCAAACAATGGCTTACCAGATGGGTTGGAAGATGCTTCACTCATTATCCTAGCACCTACAAAGGTAGTATCTTACCAGCATTCAAGGTAGTAAAACACAAAAGGGTTGGTGGTTGACAGTTGACCATTACCTTCAAATTGTCTCTGTCAACGCGTGCCTGCCCCCGCGGGGCAGTTTCAATTTTGACGGGCGAGGCAAGGCGGACCGGCACTTAGTGAGTCGCATGGGTCGATCGTTTCTGTCAGCGTGACACACAATAAAGGAAGGGACCAACGTCAATGACCCGTTCGATCCAGATTGGTACTTTGCTACGCAGTTTTCTACGTACATGTACAGCAGACTTCACCGCATCTGAATCTTGTTTTCCTGTTTCAGCATGAATGCGGCTTCGCAATAAAGGATTCATTTCATTCATTGATTCATTCATCTTTTATTATATTACAGTAGCAGTGTTGTCAAGACATCTCCCACCTTCGATAACTAAATCAACAAATAGTCTACAATGCCCGATCAAGATTGTTGCTGCATGGTCTGCGTCCGCACTCAAGAAGTCGGTGTTGTCGAAGATCTGGGGCAATTCAAGGAGCTCCTGGATCCTGGTCTGCATTGCGTCACTTGGCCGTTGCAGGGAGTGGTGGCTCGTCTCTCGCTGAGAATTCAGCAATTGGATGTACTCTGCGAAACTAAAACCAAGGACAATGTCTTTGTCCAAGTGGCGGTTGCCGTCCAATTCCGTGTCTTGGTGGAAAGTGCGTACGATGCCTACTACCGCCTCACGGATCCTCGCAATCAAATTCAGTCGTACGTCTTTGATGTGGTGCGTTCCACAGTCCCCAAGATGGAACTTGACGAAGCCTTTGCCAGTAAAGCCGAAGTGGCGGCTGCCGTCTTGGACCAGCTCAAGGATGTCATGAAGGATTACGGCTACGAAATTAAGAATTGTTTGGTCACGGATCTAGCTCCCGATCACAAGGTCAAGGCTTCCATGAACGAAATCAATGCCAGTCGACGTCTCAAAGAGGCCGCTTCTCACAAGGCCGAAGCCGACAAGGTCAAACAAGTCAAGGCTGCGGAAGCAGATGCCGAAGCTCGTTATTTGTCCGGATTGGGTGTGGCCCGTCAGCGCAAGGCCATTGTCCAAGGACTTCAAGAATCCGTCGGGGCCTTTGCCGACGAAGTGGAGGGGGCGACGCCCAAGGATGTCATGGACATTTTGTTATTGAGTCAATACTTTGATACCCTTTCCAGTGTGGGAGCTAACTCTCTTATTTTGGAACATGATCCTGCCACGGTGGCCTCGTTGAGACAATCGGTGGGTGGATCCTTTTTGACTTCGGTCAGTGCCAACAAGAAAAAGTAAACAGGGTGTGCCATGTGTGCGTGCATGCGTGTGTATGTGTGTGTGTGGGTGTGTATATATTCAGTACTTGCAGTTGATTGTGAGCAAGCTCCCTGATATTTCATGCATCCATATGCTTCCTCCTTGCTTTTTATAAGGATCATTATTATTCAAGATAATATGTTTTGTGCAATAGTAGTAAAGAAAGAATCAGTCAATGAAAATGAATGAATGAATGAATCGGTAAATATAATAACGATTTGTATATGCATAGGACTAGTATACCTTTTTTCAAATGTTATTTATAGTTGAGGCTTATCATGGTGTTCGACGTTTCCATCCTTCATAACTATAGTCACAGCACTAGTTGTCGCCATCCTTCATAGTCGTGTTCAGCTGCTTTGGAAGCTACCTACTGTACTACAAACTAGAACATATATAAAGAATCCACCATCAAGCAAGTTGACACAAACAGCATCATGGGTCGTCGTTCATTCATTCATTCATTTTGCAGGAAACAACAATAGCAATACCATATTGTACTACGTTCCATGTCATCATTCTTGGAGGAGGATTCAAGAACAAGGTTCATTTCGCAGCTTTCTTGTTCCGATTGGGGTTTTACTCTGGATCTTATTACAGTATTTTGTAGGAATACCATGGCTCAAAACGCTTGATAGAACCTTTACGAAATTTATCTTTTCTCGCCACCAAATCACAAACTAATAGATGGGGTTGGGGATTTTGATCCATCTCGTCGTTGGATCCAAGTGGAAAAAGAACTCTCGACAGAGTGGAACATCATCTTCTCGTCAGCAGAATTAAGACTTTTTCGGCTTACTGCATATTTCAAAACCATCATCATCACCAAGATTCATGATCTCCAACATTTTCTAGGGTCGTTGGGGCGGCAATTAAACCATCCTGGAACAGGCGGTGATGTCATTCATTTTCATGGAAGAAACAACAATCTAATGCATCTCGTAGTATATCTCGTAGTCCTATTTCATGATGTCAATCATCATCATCATCATACTAGTACCTATGAAATCATATTCTTCTTGCCCAACAATAATAGGTAGGATTATAGTAGGGGTGGAAATCAATCTAAAACCAGTTTCATTTCAAGCTCTTCGTCGAGGAATCGAGGAATGAGCCGGCTTGAACTCTTTGCTGTTATTCTGATGGACAAAAGCTGTAGTGACAAGTATATTATATTGATGGATGAGATTTCGAAGATATTGTGCGTACACCATACTCGTACCATGTTCATGTGAGCTGGAAGTAACGTCATACTCGTGTTCATTTCAAAATGTACCACGTACAAATATGAACATCGAAATAGTTGAACCAATCAGAATTGCTCAAACACCACTGACGTCTTTGGTCCAACAGGAAAGAAAAATGAGGTACACCTCATCACGGAACTTCTTACAAAAAGTTCTGCATTGGTGGTTTCTTTTGCTGTTTGCTGTTTGCTGTTATTTGTACCATACATCATAATTCGTTGCCAGTCAGTTTCCTACCAATAAAGACCGGAAAGAATCAAGAGCAATGGCATCACCGATAAGCAAGACTATTGCCGCTCGTGGAAGTATCCTCCAGCATCAGGCATTGAAGAAGATACCATCACATCGTCTTAATCCTCGAAACTTCCAACTGTCGTCGTTTTCTTCTATTTCGATCGACAGCAATGAAATCATGTCCGAACGTGTCCGACATGATGGTCGTCAGCCTTTTACTATCAATGCAATGCATGATAAGAGTCGAGTACGAACGATTCGATTCTACCGCATGTTGCTTCGTCAATGCCAATCATTGGCTGCGACAACCACTCCCAAGTCCTCCATCACAAGTTCCAAACAAGATACTTCCGAGAGATTCCTATTGCAACCACGAGTGGCAACATCCGCTGAAAGCTTGTATTTTCGAACAGCACCGCCTGTGGCAACCGAATCTCTTGATCTCTTTCGTCTGTTTTACATTTTGGTGGAACGAGAAAATGTCTTGAAAACAGGAAGGCCCATCAGGTTGCCACCATCGCATCCACATGCGATAAAACGAAGCTACAGCTCTGCCTCGTATGCTGCTCCATCGGCGCAACTGGATACTTCCATTGATGATTGGTTCTTTGAAGTGACAGGAGGCCAAATGCCAGTCTTTCAAAATCAAAATGGTGACGTCGATGACGAAATGAGAAATTTGTTGGTCAACACCTGTTGGACTAGCCCCGGTCAGCTCCGATCCGTCGTGCGAGATGCCTTTAAAACGGACTACAATCGGATTGATACACCAGAACTACATAAATGGACCCTTCGTGCCATCCAAATTCTTCAAGACCAGGAAGATTTGTGGAAGCGATCATCGGTAGCCGTGACCGATCGAATCCGAACCGTCGCCACCTGTCAATTGGGAAGGTGTTTGGGGGCATTGGCCAAATTCAACACATGGCCTTCGAAACGATTTACGTACAAGATTCGAATTGAGAACTTGACGCAAGATCATTTGCAGTTGATGGGCCGAAGCTTGTCCATTCAAGGAATTGACGAAGATGGCAAAGCGTACGAGGCGCCAGTGCTTAACTCCAAAATGTTGAACCGACCATGTAAGTATACTTATACTATTACTCACATCATCATGATCCTCTACACATTGTGCTAAATCTTATTCTAACTTCTTCCTTCTGCTCCAGATGTTCCATCCACAGTGCTCAAACCTGGTCAGTGCTTTGAATTTGTGGGAAACGTCAACCTCAAGACTGAGAAGGGAACTGTTCAAGGATGCTTTCATATGAACAAAGTCCTAGCTAACTCAGCTGTAGCTGGCATGGAGGCCATACCCATCGGCGATGTGATTCACGCCGAAGTTGCTCCGCTTGAGCTAACAATGTAAATAATATGTGCTAGAGTAAAACAGTTTTGCAATCGAATTTTTTAAATTGCGTTCAGTCCTAATGTAAAAGTTGACACAGTAGCAACTTTATGAACTACTTTTAATTTTAATAAAAAATCTTATGCTTTCTTTCGGAGACGAGATGTCTGTACATCAAGTACGCCATCTTGATTTTTGCTTGCTCTGGGAACGATAGGATAGGACGCGCAGTCGCTGATTCCGCATAGATTTTCCCCACGCTTGATCCAAAAGTAGCCCTCCATACCCCAAGAGGTAGACCAACTGTTGCGAATAATGTAATATGGAACCGACGACTTATCCTTGGCAGCTTCTGTCTCGCCGTAACCAACGGCAACAACGGCATGGTTCACACTCATGGCATCGGACTTGCACATGGTATGATTGGTAGTCGCATTGAAACTATCATACACACCATGACTATAGAATCGAAAATCAGGCGATACTTGATAGGCCACACTAACTGGACCTGCGGCGGCAATGGCAGTCGTCAGATCGTCTTCGTCACCACTGGTAATGTTGTAAATTTGAGCAACTTCGGCCGCAAAGCCAAGCGGCGAGAGTTGACAGGAGTCATTCTCCTTTGCAAGATATGGATACTCTTGTTCGCTGTCCATTCCTCCAGCATATTTGATGTACTCAAAGGCATGACTTGGCAGTCCACCATTGCAGCCATGATTGTCAAAGTCTCCGGCACAATCCAACAGCTGTTGTTCGGCCAGTCCGGTCCAAGTAGTACAATCCAAATCGGGATTGTTCAAACACGTGTGGGCTTCCAAACATCCACTGGTGCTAAAGGTCCAACACGATCCGCACATCTTTTGGTTCTTGATGGGTGTAATGATTCCTTTGGTCCTCCAGTCGACGTGTTTTGGAAGCCTGTGGGTTGTACCGGTATGGATAACAGTTGGAAATGAAATAGCAAACAATATAATGATAGTTAGCATTTCGTCCATTGCATCATAATCATTTCAAAGGCAAATCAAACTCTATCAACATGAAATCTCGGGTTCTGAATATGGACTGCGGCACGAGACTTACTCGATATCTGATGTCATGGGTCCACTCGATGGATGTGTAGTAGCGGAACAGTTTTGCCAAGCCATCAAGTGACTGGCTTCGAATTCGGCATCGGTCAAATCGGCAAATGGTGATTTCATCAGACTCATAGCATAAGAAGTGTATCCCTTCTCGTAGGCTTGGTTGTGATTTTCAACGACCTTGGAATTCATGAGAAAGTTCTGGAATCGTTGCTCGTACTCTGATTTGTCATCATTATAATCCTTTCCATGATTGTCCATCCAAGCCTCAAAGTGATCCGAAGAGTACTTCAATGGCTCTCCATTGGCGAGTGCCAATGCAAGGGAGAGAATGAAACCAAAGACAGCAAACAACATGGTCATAGAATGCAGTGCAAAGATATTTTTAAAAGAATAATATAGGGCAAGAAGATCATCGGCCAACACAGAATTCTGGGTTTTGTTGGGTCTATGTTAGTGTCATATGTACCCCTAAATTATGGAATCCCCAAACGAAAACCCTGAAATAAAGATGAAATTGAAGCATATTCAATATATGGAAAGTCGGCCTCTATATCGTATACTCTAGTATTTGCCATTACAAGTACACTACAACTGCACTGACATTGTCAGAAGACCCTTTCTTCAGAGCCATTGAGCAGAGCTCTCTTGCGGCATCACCCGCAGAAATTCCTTTTGTCTTCTTCTTGTGAAGCTCCAAAGCCACTTCTCCCGAACCCATGACTTCCCACAATCCATCCGATGCCGACAGCAGAATCTCGCCGCTTTCGACCGCAGTTTCAGTAATATCTGGATCGCTCACGATCCCCTTGGATGTAGCAAAAGGACCTTCCAAGGACCTTGCGACGCTGTATTCGTAGGCACCAACAGAAAGTGTCCATTTGGAAATCTTGCATTTGGGAAGAGAGTAGCCCAAGCCTGCATCAATGCCCTCTTGGAAACGACTTGTCTCTGATTGCGGCGTATGGTCTGCTGTCTCGAATCGCACCTTGCCTTTGGATGTCATTACTAGACTACGAGAATCGCCACAATTCAAAAAGGTAATCTTCCCGGTTGTCTCATCCAGCGCCATGATGGATATGGTAGTACCAGGAATGAGATCATTGCCGCCGGTATTTGCCTTGAGGGTACCTTCCCATGGATTGTATTCTGCCCTGCATGATTCGGGATCAGTGCATTGCTTCTCATACATGTCGCACACTTTTTCCCACGCTCCTTCCAGAGACTCCTCCACAGACTTTCGGTTGACGAGAAGCTCTTTCGAAACCAAGCTGGGCATCTGACTGGATACTAGTGAGGATGCCGCTGCTCCTCCATGTCCATCCATAACACCAGCTAGCAATACGGAACTATCTTTTGCATCATGAATTTCATGCAGAACTGTGTGTGTGTGTGTGTGTGTGTGTGTGTGTGCATGTGTGTTGTGGATTTTCGAGTAGTAGTGAGCACAATTTCTGTGACGAAATGACGTGAAACATATGCTCTCATGATAATTGTAAGAGTGACTTACCGAAAGCATCTTCTTGATAGTTCCTCCTTCCTTTTGAAGACCATGCACCGATACTCGTCAGGTGAACCTCCCTTGCTTCGTTTGGAATCATTGGAATTGCCTCGTTGGATCGAACAGAGATTCGATCGAAATGTAGCTTGACATTCTTCGAATTCTTTGGCAGATCTTGAAGCTGAATTGTAAAGAGAGAAGCAATGGAAAATAGAGTTAGATGCAAGAAGGCGCCATTCATTTGCCACACAAACACAGGCGCGACGTACCATTTCCACAGCCTTTTCGAATCCCCCACCGGACAATGGTAGGTCCCCAACTCCTTGAAGCTGATCGCCAACTTCAAAGATCTCACCCATTCGATCCGCTTGTCCTCCAGGAACAATCTCTTTGATGAATACTTCTCCGACTTGCGCAAACTTGGTCGCTTCGAGCCATTCGGGGTCCGAATTGGATTCGTCGTCTTCTTCGTCTTCTTCGTCATATTCCGAAAGTACTAGTCCAAGCGATTCTCTTCGAGAAAAGGTTGCCACGTAGTGCAGTGCCCGAGTGATGGTTGGTATCGGACAAGTTTCCATGCATTCTATTACCATGTTGAAAAAGGGACCATCCAACTCTTGTTTGGATTCAATGTTTTCGTCGTCATCATCAACCTGCTTGCTCGATTCCAAAATAGCCTGAAATCGTGCCAAAGCAGTTTTAGCAGTTGGTCGATTGAGTGGATCTTGGCGCAACATTTCTTCCAAAAGGGACCACAAGCCGGGGCGTTCAGCAAGGTATTCCAAACTATAATCCAGTCCCCGGGGCCGCAGTTTAGATCCCAATTCGTTGGACAGCCAAACATTCAAATCCCATTGAGCATCCTCCAATTGTTGATGAAATCCAGCATCAGTCCGTTCGTCCAAGTATCCAAAGAGCAATTGACAAAATAATAGACCCGACGAAAAGATATCAAAGGCAGTTGGAGCCTCTTTGATGTTCACAAAAACTTCAGGAGCACAGTAAATGGGAGAGACGGCTACCCGACTTCCATTTTCCAAACCTCGGAGGACTTGTTGTTTTGATTTCCACAAGCCATTGCTTACAGTGAACGTTGAATATTCCAAATCGGCAGCCGAACCAAAATCCATCAATACCAATCTTCCTTTGGTGTCATCATTTTCATCGTCGAGCTGCACCAACAAATTGGACGGTTTGATGTCGCGATGTACAATCTCATGGCGATGCACATGGTGCAAGACGGTCAATAACGATTCTAGGACAGTATCCAAGGTTTCCCCATACGAATTGCATCCAAGATGCTTTCCAATTTGCAAGAGTTCTTGTGGCGAACCATTGGTATTATCGTCCGCAGCATCGTCTAGTTTCATCAAGTCGGCAAGTGTGGGCGCTGGTACGGACGATGACGATGACAATTCGCCTCCTCCTTTTCCTTTGTACCTGGCATTGGTCACTAGTCCAAAGGCCATCCAATCATGCTCCTTCGAGTCGTCTTGGACGATCCCCAAATGGGGTGGCAACTGTGGATGCAATGGCAATTTACGAAAGCAGTGATCTTCCACCTCCCAGTAGTACATGCATCGCTCTGCTCGCTCCTTTGGTGTTTGAAGTACATCCTTTCCATCTTCTTTTCTTTGAGACGAGGATGCCTTGAGTTCGTCTTGTTTCCATGGTCGTTTGCCAATAATGCAAACGGAATTATTATTATTATCGTCGTCTACCATCAGCTTGTGAACAGTCCCATAGGATCCACTTCCAATCTTGTCGCCAACAGAAGCTATAGTACCATCCAAAGAAGGTATTGACTTGGATTCTGCATCTTCTTGGACCGCATCTTTTGTCCCGGCAGCAGACATGACTACCTTATTGGATGCTGATCTGCTGCGTTGGAGGATGTCTTTGAAAGGTCGTATTCTATTAGGCTCGTCATCGTCAGCCTTTCTGGAGTCGGAGGATATTCTGTGAAACTTCAAGTTCCTTTGATTGGTGAAAGAAGCGACGGGAGTTACGATGATGAAGGCCACTAATACCAAGAGACATATTGAAGATGAGAACACTACTAGGTGCTGCTGACGATGATGGGTGGCGTAGGCAGATGACTTCTTCGTCTTCTTCGACGCTGAAGGCGGCATTGACCTCCTGAAATTCATGTCTTGTTTCTTCTCTGATAATCTCAACAGGCAATAGTGGTAGCAGGCCTAAGAGATCGAATGTGCATTGGCGTTGCTGAGATACATAAATATGACTCTTCTGGTTGAAGGTGACACGATGATGATGATCGGATGTTTCTCCTAAATTTTCAAATAAAAGACTCATCCGAATGAATCCATCATCCATCATCGCAAGAAGTCCAACAAGTCGACCCAATCCTCCTCAGTCAGTCATTATTGTGCGTCACACGGACATATCGGTACATGTACGATATCATCTGCATGGATGATGAATGATGATAGATCTTCATCATATTTATTTACAAAACGGTCATAGTGAGCATACCGGTAACAGTACCCTACAGTACATTTTCTCTTCCAAGCACAATCACGTTGGAGAAACCGCATGTCGTCGATGATCTGATTGTTCTGATTCCTTGATATCACATACACAGCTTCATCTTATTATATCAGTGCTCGCTCAAATCAAATTTTAAATTGCTGATTGTCACAATTCGAAAATGTTGAACTCCACGACTACTCCAGGCGGCACCGTTTCAGACGAGACGAAGAATGGCAATGATAATCGAGCAAACGAAAAGCAGCAGCACCAAAAGCCACAGCAACAACAACAAAGTGGCGGTGATATTTTGGATTGCGTCACCCAAGATGGTTACTTCCAAAAATCGCTGTCGCCAAAAGAACGATCCGTTTTTGGAATGGTGGGAGTCTTTTTGTTGTTGTGTTCCTGGATATACGTCTTGAATGGGGAACTTGCTCAAGACAATAACATGGCTGAAAACGTGGTCACCAAAACGACGAATGTCACACACAAAAATGAGAAAGAAAAAGTAAAGAGAGACTACGGACTGCATGAAGGACTTTTCAGCACATATCCCATCATTTCCATTCACAACGACGATAAGGACGGCGGTGTTCAATCGTCCCCTGTCGAGACTCCAGTGGTAGGAGATGGAGGAGTATGCCCAGCCTTGTGTGACAGTCGAGAACAAGCTCGCAAACAAAAATTTGGTGGCGACTTGTTGGATCTGTCGGAAGTATTGAAAATGGCCAACAAGGCACATGACAAACTTGTGGATCACATCAAACTGGAGTACGGAGAATACTTTGATGGAATATTCATCAAAGAAACACCAGCAGCAGTAACAGACTCCAATGTCACCACTACCAAGGGACGACGGTCGTATTCGGGAATGAATCCCGTCACGGAAAATGGTGAATCTCGAAATCGAATGAAACGGAAACTTCAACTCAAGGTACTGAAAATGATGGAGGCCCTCAAAGTATCCGAAGAAGATGTCCATGGCTGCAACTGTCGAACTATGACGGGCTCTACTAAAGAAAAAGAAGAGAGGTTTACATCCAGTATTCCGGACTATTATCAGAAATATGTCTTTGCCAATGGTGGGCATTCCAACGCGGCTGGCCATGGGAACGTTTTTAGTGAGACATACTCACACTACATTGGACAAGATCTACGAATCATTTGGGATGCACTGGGCGTGGAAATGATCAGCCGCAACATGGGAATGGGAGCCATGAAGTAAGACTATATATATATGTATACATCCTGGTACATGCTGGTCGTTTTCGTTTTAACGAGTGACGCTGAGTGTTATTTGTGTTGTGGAACCTAACATTACTGTCCTTTTTTTTTCATCTTTCAGAGCATCTCCAGACATTTCGACATGCTCCCAGGCAGTTTTTGGTACCGATGTAGACTTGTTGACCTGGAATTATGCCATGCTCGACAAAACATTTGCGTCATGGTTGCATTACATGTATCGGGCTGCTGTGAGTCCAGGAAGACCTGCATTTGTTTCCATGGACATTATGCATCTTGCTGGAAGGTATGGTGCACCCTTGGAAAAATTGGGCCTAGCCTTATTCTATTTGAATGGAGCTTCTGTCCCGACGAACAAGAATATTCCCGATTCAGCTCCAGACGGGATACCCTTGTCCGAAGACTTAGTGAACGAGCAACCGCCAATGGTCAGGGGTCTCAAATGCGATGGTAGACTGGAAAAGCCACCTATGTGTTCTGATGACTACAAGTGGAGTTGCACCGCAAAGATGAGAAAGGCGAGGATCAAGTGCACCTGTCCAGGAGTGAAGATGCGCTCTGGTTGGCACATGGGATTGTAAGTTTTCTTTTCCATTCCAAAATTTCTTTCCTTTTTGTTTGGTCCAACATATTTCTTTATGGATATCTAGCAAAATGCATGCTTTGAATGCCCATTACATGTCTCTTCCTCTTGTTGAAATGCTGCTGGAAGGTCTCTTGGAGCTCGTCGAGACGGGCAAGGATCCCAAAACACTATTCCAAGAACTCCAAAAGGAAGAAGATGACGAGTTCAAAGCATTCCTTTCCGTGCCAATAAAGGAAAATTTTAACAACGAAGAAATGATACAACGCTTTGGGGAGCTGGGAGATGAACTCGATACTTGGTTCAAGGGGCCCAGTATATGCCGGACTTCACTACTACCATCCATGACACGTTATCTGGGGCTTGCTTTGAATTCCGACAAAATTGGCGGATCTGCTCGATGTAATGAAGTAGAATATGAAAACGGAGTACCCTTTAATCGGCTAAACGGCATGTACACCTACCCCGATGGACCCCCGCCCGAAGGCGAGGTGGCCATTCTGTCGCCAATCGACTTTCGACAATGCTCGCCATTGAGGACGTGTAGCGAAATTGTCATGCCGGACTACAAGGACTGGTTCTATGGAAATTGGACGAATGGGCCAGTATCCATCACGTTTCCAAATGAAAAAGAACGGGAACATTATGGATATGAGCCGGGGAAGTTCAAAGGAATCTTGGGGCTTGTTTCGACTGTAAGTTATTTGCTTGTGCTTTCTTACTCTAGAGTGTTCATTCAAGAAGGAACCCATTTGCTCAGCAACTCTTTTTCGCCCAGATATTTCCAGAAGCAGCAGCAGACGGTACTAGGTTTGACTTTCCGTACTCTTCATGGCCTGAACATGTGGACGCAAAAGTTAACGGCATACCAGTGACCAATTGGAGACTTTTCAATCGAATGGCAATCCTTGAGGGTGCCGATGGAATTTATTGGAAACCAACTGCCAACAATGATTATAAAATAGAGTTCAGTCCAAAGGGAGTGACGAAGGACGGCAGGGCGGCAAGCGAAAAGCATCTTCGATTACAAGGTTTCGTTCTGTACTAGGAGCTTGTTGGCGGAAACGAGAAAGGATCCAATTCATTTCCATCGTCGTCTTGCCACATGACAGAGATGGTGAAGTCGAATTGAAAAAGCCTTCGTGGATGGCCAACGTTGCAGCAAGGGCTCTAGTGAAAGCATATGCTGCTTGTTGCCATGAACCATACATTATTGCTGAGGCACATTATCCAACCAGCAGCACTTCTACTTTTTAAACTTGTTTCCTGAATTCAGCAAGATAATGGAAAGATGGCGTCATCTGTTGATTATTGGTTACTCGAGACAATCATTGTGTGGATTGAAGGTTCTGAACATGATAGAAATTAAACGTAAACCAGCTACTGGTGCTAAGTCTTGGTATCGAGAGTTTTAGAAGTGATCATCATGGGCTACTGTCTCCCAGGCAGGTGTGTGATCCTTTATGCTTGACTCCTTCGAATACAAAATGCCAAAATTTTATCACGCGAATTATTTTATATATCATCATCTTGCTTATATATTATACCGGTAGGACCAATATAATATGCGGCACAAAATACATTTCACTCACGCACCGCATTCATTCCTTATTGCGGTAATAGACGCATACGCAGTATCTTGTTGCTCTATGTTGCCACGAATAGCTTATCTTTATCTTTGATTCTAGCACCGATACCAATACTGTCAATTCAATTGAGCTGACGCGGGAGGCTCCGGTGAAAAATGGTAAAGGCTTTGGAAATGGAAGTCCTCGTCGCTGATGGGGCGGAAGATGCAGACGGACTTGAGATGCATCCAAGCAGCAGCAGCAGCAGCGGGCTCTCAAAGAAGCTAACTCCAAGAGCTCGCTTCATTTTGGCTGCTTTCGGTTTGTTCTTGGTGTGTGTGGTGACGAGTTTATGGAACAGCGAAACTACTGGAGATGAAGTCCTCGCAAATATGTACACAAAACCACCCGACGCCATTTTGGATGTCGAAAACAACAAGTATGATGTGGTGGTTGACGAAAGAGTGGAAAGCAATGCGACAGAGGAAACTGGATTTCATGAGGGAGTGCTGAATTCTTCCAATATAATCTCGATCAACGAGGAATCAGATGTGGAAGAATTAATATCTCCGCCTCTGCCTGATACCCCTGTGACAAGTGACACAGGAGAATGCTCAGCCCTGTGCGATAGCCGCGATGAAGCACGCAAACAGAAATTTGGTGGTGACTTGCTCGACTTTTCAGATGTCTTACGCTTGGCAGAGAAAGGCCGAGCCAACCTACATGATAAACTCAAAGAGGACTATGGCCAGTATTTTGAATCAATTTTTATCAAGGAACCGGGGCCAAATGCCACCAAGGACTCACCGCCAACTTACCAAGGAATGACACCAATTACTGAGAATGGACCTTCCCGCAATAATTTCAAGCGAAAACTGAAAATCAAAGTTTTGAAAATGATGGAATCCATCAAGATTTCCGATGAAAATGTCCACGGCTGCAACTGCCTCACCAAGACGGGATCTACTGCCGAAAATGAAGAGAGCTTTGCTGCAGACATACCTGACTACTATCAAAAGTATGTATTTGCCAACGGTGGCCACTCCTCGTCTGCTGGTCATGGCAATACCTTTAGCCAAACCTACACCGCCTATATGGGAGAAGATCTTCGATTCGTATGGGACGCGATTGCTGTGGAAATGGTTGATCGCAACATGGGTATGGGGGCAATGAGGTACGCGACTCTGTGTCCTTGACGATGCCGCCGTTTGATTGCCTTAACTCTTTGCTTTCTTCTTCTTGTAGCGCTTGTCCGCATATTTCCTCGTGCTCCAAGGAGATCTTTGGAGACGATGTGGATTTCCTCGCTTACAACTATGCCATGACAGATAGATTTCCCTCGTCCTGGCTGCATTATGTGTATCGAGCTAGTGTCAGTAGCGGTCGGCCTGCATTCGTTGCTATAGAGTATATGGGGCACATTATGTACGGTCCAGTATTAGAAGACAATGGTTTGTCCATTTTCCAATTGAGGTCGCATGATGCGCCATTAATTCAAAACATTCCGGATTCATCCCCTGACGGAATTGAATTGAATGCCGCCCAAACGAACCAACTCCCAGAATTTGCCAAGCATCTCAAATGTAATGGAAGGATTGAAGGGAAAGATGTCTGTTTTCATGATAAGTGGAAATGTACCATGGGAAAGCTCCCGTGCGACTGTCCCAGTGTTGCGAAACGCAGCAGTTGGCACCCTGGATAGTAAGTATTATTTCTTTCACTGGTAGGCGCTGTGTTTCTTGTCATTTTGTCCGTTTTGTTTGCATTTTCACCAGCTCACCTTGCATTATTGCTGCCTTTGTTTCTGTAGCAAAGAGCATGCATTGACTGGACATTTCCTTGCACTTCCAGTTGTTGAGATGCTCATTGAAAGTATTTCTGATCTCATGACTATGGACAAGGATCCTATGACAGTACTGCAAGACCTTCAAAAAGAGGAAGATTTGGCGTACAAGAACTTCTTTACTATACCAGTACAAGATACCTTAACTCCAGGCATCGATAGGAAAGGAAAACTAATTGGTACCTTGACAGAAAGATTTATTGAACCATTGGGAGAAGAGATGGAATATTTTTTCAAGGGTCCAAGTATCTGTCGAACTGCATTGTTGCCATCGATGACACGTTATCTAGGAATAGCCACGAATTCAGACAAGGTTGGTGGATCGGCTCGATGCGGGGAAGAAACCTATGATCTGGGAATTCCTTTCGACCGAAATAATGGCGTGTATACCTACACCTCAAATCGAACTGTGCCACCGGGCGAGTGGGCCATCATGTCGCCAAACGATATGAGATCATGTAATGATGACTGCTCAGATGTTGTCATGCCAGACTACAAGGATTGGTACATGGGGAATTGGTCGAGTGGATCAGCGTCAATCACCTTTCCAAACAAAAAGGAAAAGGAATACTATGCGTATTCACCTGAAAAGTTCAAAGGAATCTTGGCACTTATGACAACAGTACGTTGGTAGTAAATTGGTACAACTTGATTGCATACTTGCGTTCTCACCACATCCTCCATACTCTTTAAACTCAGTTTTACCAAGAAACAACAGGTAGAAAACAAAACAAAAGAAAGTATGACATCGCTGGAGAAAATTTCCAGGAGAATGTGTTGATGACTGTAAACGGTGAGCCAGTGAAAAAATATCGAAGCGTGGACGGCTTGTTGATACTGGAGGGTCCTGATGGGATATATTGGAAACCAAGCAAAAACAACGATTACGTAATGGAGTTCAAACCCAAAGGGAAGATTGACGGCAAGGACGCCATAGAGATGCACCTGAGGCTCTCAGGATTCCTCGTGATGTAATTGCTAAAGAGAATTATATTTCAATAAATTCAATAGTATCAGAAATGTTATTTACTTAGTATACAGCTCGATCCCAAAAAGGATCGGTGCGATTTCCCCACCATAGCTGGTCGTTACGACTTCCTTTGCGCTTTGCTTCAAGACCAAAGAGTGGACTATATGCCATTACTGGTAGACTCTTCAGCTGATGGTAACTCCGGAGTACGGAACGGAACGTCAGATTGGATGCATGTTGACAGTTTATCAAGGTCTGCAGATTTCCGGCTCTGGTATATTCCAACTTCACCAACCAAGTTCGTGAATTCGGCCGACTTTTGATTTTCAAGTGAGAGGATTGATGGGTATTGCTGGACAAGGTGTGTGACCTTTGCAAATGCGCGCCATTGTTTATACAAGGCGCAGGCATCATTAATGTACTTTTCAGCAAGACTTTGTTTTGCAGCATTGTAAAAGTACTCGCCTGCAAGCTCGCTTCCCAATGCTGCAAACTGAATGTGTCCCATCTCAAGTGCCAACTCTATAGCTGCGTCGTAATGACCTTGAACCTCGTCAAGACTGTCCGAGGTCGAAGCCAATATATCTGCATCCATCAGCTTGAGCAGAAACAAAGGTGTCATGCCTTTTGAGTACACCAGCTTCCTGAGTCTTCCGGCATACCGCCGAGCACGTGCAATGTTCTTTTTCCGTTGATTTTTGGTTTTTCGTGCTAACCCCGAGTACACCAAGCTAGAAAATGCTATGCGGTTGAGCAAGTTCAGATGTATTGAATCATCTTTTGCGTGTGAGGCGAGTTGATCTGCAAGTTCTTTTGCGAAATGCAAGTTGCCAAAGTACACGCCAATCATCAGTCTTGTCAATTTGTAGTAAAGGAGGTAGAACTGATTGTCCATATCAGTGGGGTCGGTTCCAGGCAGTGCAAATGTCTCCCAATTGATAGAACTACCCTTTCGAAACAAATATTCTATCGGAAGCATAAAGTCTTCCATCACCTTTCTGTTCGATGCTGCGTTCAGGAGTGTGAATTCGTCAACGATTTCTTGGCCGTATTTCCGGACAGCATCCAAAGGATACCCAGCATGAAAGACAAACCGAAAAAGGCTGATTCTAGCCACAAATGAGACTTCAAGATCTCCAGACTCCATGCCAAGCTTGTGGGCCTTATGAAGTGAGTTCAATATCGTTTCGATTGGAGTGGTCCAGGTTTCAACCCAGACAGTAACCATGTAAATTGCACGACTTCCTGATTTTTGAGGACCATCGCTTCGATCGAGCAATTGTCGAACCAGTCGTCCCATCCGAATCGCACCATTTTGGTCGCCCACAAAGGAAAGATAAACAGCATACCCAGCCAGTGCACTTGCAGTCCGACCATCTATTCCATATTGTATTGACTTTCGAATCATGCGCAGGCTACACAGGAGAAAGACCACTGTGTTTTGCACAAAAAATGCCCGATGCGACGCCACTTGTAGCAGCTCCATGTTGGACTTCATTTCAGGATTTTCCATATCCGGAAGCTGAAGAAAGAAATCATTCGTATGTGAGTCAAAGTATTTCTTGACCTTGCGTATTTCAGCTGCGACATGGAGCGATAGAAAACGTTTTGGGAAATCGGTGAAGATCTCCAATGCGCTCATCAGAATTTGTATACTCTCTTCGAATTTTCCCTGCTCTGATTTTGCAAGCGACATTGTGAGGTAGGTCGGCTTTTTTTCCTCAACAGTCTTACAGTGTTTTAGAATTTGTAGGCTTAGGCTTGAGCTGAGTTCATAATTTCCAAGGAAGAGCTCTGCTTTGGCATTCATTCTTAGAAGATTCAGTGTCAGGTCATAGTGCGATGTCCATGGTTTATTCGTTTTCTCAAGAGTCCGTAGACCCTTTCTCAGGTAAAAAGAACCTGGTTTAAAGGCTCCGATTTCGAGGGCTTTCTCTCCGCAAGAAAGATTTAGCTTTGCGAGACATTCATAATACTCTGGTTGCGAAGGAATCGAATTTAGAAAGTCTGCAGCGGTATATAACATCCAGTTATCTTTGGGTGTCTTCCACAAGTCCTTGAGCTGCACCGCAACAACGCGCTTCATCTTGTCTCGTTCCGAGCCGTGTTCTATTAGTGTCATTGCCGCCTGTTGAATCTGACCGTGAGCGAATCGGACATGTGCAATGTCCCCATCTTTGGATCTATATCGTTGAAAGTACCCTTCCTTGATTGCCTCCTCCAGCATCGCATCAAACTCGGCCTTGGTCAAACTTTCATCCTCGCTTTTCACAAGTGAAAATAAGGTAGCACATGACAAGACAGAGCGTGTATAGGAAGCAATTGTCATGGTCCTTTGCATCCTCATTGGCATTTCTTTGATCCTTTTAGCAATGACCTCCAACATGTCGTTCGGTAATTCTGCTTCCAGTTCCCCAGCAGCCTCCAAGTTCCACTCCCAACAAAATGCAATGACTGAAAAGAACAGGACGTTCTTCCGATGCATTTCCTCCATGAAATTGACTACAAAGAACATGTTTCCTTTTGTCTGATTGAAAATAATTTTGGACAAAGGCATTGTCTTATCGGGTTCGAGTTCCAGAGTGTCTCCAACGAATTGATTCATGTCATCTAATTTCAGATTGCCGACATCCAGCGTTGCGATTTCCTTTTCCTTGGATAGCTCCGTCAGCATGTCTTTGGCAGCATGATGATTGCCTGGCATGCTCTGTATGGAACAAACGATCATGATGCGGCGCAACGATCGGTCTCGGACAAAAATCGACAGCAAGTCCAACGACGATTCATCGGCAAGATCCAGGTTGTCCAGAAAGAATATTATTTGTCGACCCGTTTCGGGACTACTAATCGCCCTCAGCAAGGACTGAAACAAGTATTTGACCTGATTCCAGGCGCAGTCTCGTGCTCCTATATCGGTATCTTGAGGATTCAAACCACCGCGTTCCATAAAGGCAGCCAACCCTGGAATCAGGGGTGTTAGAGCATGTAACTCTTCTCCAATCACTGCTTGAATGGACCTCCGGATCCCTTCTAACTCAGCTGGATCGTTGTTTCTGATGATCTGGAGGAACAGGGCATCAAATGCTTGTATAATGGCTGAATATGGATGATCTTGCCGTTGATCGAACTTTCCAGCAACGAAAAAGAAAGGAGAAGCATTACCTGTCTTGACATCTTCTTTGAGGGCTTTGGCGAAATTCGTAATCAGACTTGATTTTCCAGAGCCTGGATAACCCGTAATGACCACAAATGGAGGACCACTGTCTTGTTCTTCTTCTGCAGCCGCCAATGTATCATACAACTCCTTCAACTGCTTCAATTCCTTGGAGCGTCCATACAATTTATTTTTCGGAAAGACAAGTCCGTTTTCCAGCCCCTGTTTCTCGTCATCTTCCCCATCGGAATAGCCGTCATCATAAAATAGTCTTCCACTGGATGCTATCCTCATGGTGGAAACCACAGTATCTATGACTATATTCTTTCTACCTATAATGTGTAATCTGCGTGCCAAAGTCACCCCAAACCAACAGAAAACCAAAGGAGTGCGGTCGATCTCACCACTCACTGTCGTCACCCCAGAAGCTGGAGTATAATACACCGGAGAAACTTGCTGGGCTGGATTGTTCTTAAGTAGAGACTGAAAGAATGTGGCCGGATTCGTCATACAACCAAGAAATTAGAGTACTTGTAGACGCGAGAAAAGGAGAGCAGGAAGGTTTGTCTCTCCTGTTTCTGAGCGGGAAACGTCGCAGCAAAAGTACCAGGTAGTCGCAGTCGGGAAATTTGATAGTGCGTACTGTGCCGGTTACGGTTCGAATGACTCAAACGACCGAGACAGCAAACGATGACAGACGATAACATGAATGCTGCTCAATAATTTTGTGATTTATCATCCACTGTGTTAATAATACCAACAACAAACAATCACATGTTGATGCCTTCATCCATGTTTGTTTTCCTGATATCAGTCCTTCTTTTGGGCAGTATCGTTCAGGTTTCCAGCTCAACGTGGACAGTCTATCACTCGTTCAACGCGGATCAAGAATTCAGCCGCCGTGGAGAACTGAAATGGTCCCCGGAAGAAGGAGCTTTGCAAATTACCAATGAGGAATCTGCCTTGTCCACAGAAAGCATACAAGCCATGTTAGACTATGGATGGTACCACGTCAAGATTCAAAATCCAAATGATACCAACGATTTTGTGCTTTCCACTGTACCAGCTTGCAGTATCCGCCGGGCCAACTTTAAGGATGAATTTCAGGTAACTCTGCCACGCACCCAAGAGTCGCAGATTACTAGTTTAGCATACTTGCCATTGGCCAGTCCACTCGCTCCCAAGTCTTGTGATGAAATGGGGGAAGTAGAATCACCAACATTTACATCCAAGGTGTCCTTGACTCTTGACACGCCCGGAATGATCCTGAAATCAGTCTTGTAAGTCTTATCGCATGATCGATTGTTATATATATATATTGTTATCTGAAATTCAATGCTGCTGCTGAACATCACATTTTATCATGTCTGCCCTTTTTTCATCCAGGCCAACCACAAAGCCACCACCAGGCATGACATTCATCCCGCACCCCAATTTGAAAAAGAATAGTGGTAATAGTGCTGCTGGGGATGGCGCCAAAGGTGGTGCAAAAGAAGGTCAGATCCCTGGACAAGAAGAGGAGGAACCGCAATCCTACATCCGTAAATATTGGTACATCTTTCTGCCTCTCATGATTGCCAACTTTATGGGAATTGGATCACCAGCAGCAGGAGGAGAGCCTTCTCAAGGTGGTGCGGGTGATGCTCAACCTGCTGTGGCAGCCGCTGGTGCAAGTGCACCTGCTGGTTCGGATGGTGGGAAACGACGACGGGGAAAACGTCGTTAGACTAGCACACATAAACTTATAGTAACTAGCTAATTCTAGAATAATGCTGGCTTTACATTTAAAACAATAAATATTTTAAAATAATCAAAAGCATGTAGCTCTACTTTCATTTTAGCATCATCTATTGGACGTGCCTTAAATTGGATCCAGGCACGGACATTTTAGTGCCATTTGCCAGCTCTACTTTCCACTCTTTTCGCATTGCGCTCAGCTTGATCACACTTACAAGTGTTCCGTTCAGTTTGGCTTTCTTCTTGAGCCCACGAAGTTTCATGGTGTCACCTGGTTCAATAATGTAGCCTTCTACTGATAGCATGTGTTCCTCCACCTCTTCTTCTGGCTCTTCTTCCTCCTCTTCTTCTTCTTCTGGCAAATCGTTCAGTATCTCTTCTTCTTCCTCTTCTTCTTCAGAATCTTGCGGAATTTGGACTAATTTCTCTTCTCGTACAGCCAGGATAGCTCCGGAACTTACAACCTCCACTTCCCATTTTCCTGGCTTCTTGCCAGGTTGAATAACTTCAACTCGTTCACCATTGTACTCCTTTAGCTTGATTCCTTCCAAAATATAGTGATATCCTGGTTGGATTTCGTCGGGGTATTGTTCCACTTGCTTGCTGGCCCGGTATTGTTCTTCGTATTCCTCTTCTTCCTCTTCCTCCTCCTCCTCGGATTCTTCCTCATCCGGATCGTACTTCCGTATTGAAAAGTTGAACCGAAGCTCGTCCTTAATAATTCGTTTCATTTCCGGCATTGTCATATCTTCCACATCTGTACCATGCAGAGAAACCAACTCATCGCCCGGTTCCACTGGCAAACCCCTCCGCTTGACGAGGCCTGTCACCTTGCGAACGTAGATTTTTCCACCATTTCGTTCTTCCAATTTCAATCCTGATTCCTGTTTTTTCTCGCTTTTGGATAACTGCAAATGAACAAGATCACCTGGTTTGAAGTTCATGCTGTTTGGATAGTCTTATGCTTCGCCAATTGTGTTTGTGTTACCTGTTATATTTATTATAACACCATAAGCGTGTTGCAGTTTTCAAGATCCGATTTGATTTGCAATACCGGTATATACTGCATATTGTATAGAGCGGGTCATTTGCGTGCACATGAATCGACTAATTGGAATCATCATTACTGCTACTACTGTCTGTGATTCCTCGATAGACATCTAGTACTTGAAAAATATTATGTTGGTTTTCTAAAAAGGGGGCTGGCGACGTCCTTGACGATCCAATCGACAAGGCCGCAAGCAATCCCTCGCTGTCTCACAATAACATGGTTTGAAAGTCTAGTCGGTATACCGTTCATTGTTTCCCTCTTGTCATAATCTTCGTCATGTATTCATTCAACACCCAATTGTTTCTTGTTCAATTCCATTTTCCTTCGCTTGTCAGCATTTGTAGGAGTCAAAGTACTCTCCAATGATCACTATCCTCCCTTCTCAGTTTGTCACTAAGCATCTTCTCATTCCTCAGAACATGCCATTGGGGAAGAAAATCATTTTGAGAAAGAGGCCCACTGCGTCCATGACTACGAAGACGACCACACTGATCGCCGCCTTTGCAAGATTTTTTCCAACTTCCACTGCATTTCGCGGCGGCAGCAACGTGAAAGGAGATCGTGGTTCCGGAAGGGATCTCGTCGACTTTGGTGGGGGAGGTGCCCTCGTCGATTGGGATTCCACCGCCTTGAATTCGTAGTCCCAAATGTTGTCTTCTTGGTTCTCCTTGTCTTCTTCCTCTTCTGGCAACACGGTTGTGGTAGCTTCAACTGATTCGGTGGTAGGTTCCCCTTCATCGGCCTTTGCTTCTTCAGCTGCTGCTGCCTCCTGCAATGCATCTGGCTCATCTTCCGTCACCTGCACTGGCATTGACATTCGCTCCATCATATCATCGTCCATTTCGTCATCATCGTCGTCGCCTCCTTCAGCTTCTATTCGATCAAAAGCAACTTGGCGTATTCCCATGGTGTACTCTGATGGAAACTCATCTCCTTCGTCATAATAATACTCTGTTGCCTTCTCAAATAGATCGTACTGGACAATTGTCTTGGTGAGGCTGGGAAAAAAGATGATCTTGTCCGACGAGACATCGTAGTACTTTCTCGTGTAGCATATTTCTTTGGCCGCTTTCATGATGGCGTCATAGGACTCTTTCTCCATTTCGGGTTCCTCTTCAAAGTCTTCAGACTTCATCATTTCTTCAATCATTCCATTAAGTTCAGTGTCAATCATGTCTTGGCGCTTTGCAGCCTCCGACAGAGGCTTGGTCGAACGCTTCTGATCAGTAGGATCGATGTCTTGGTCGTTGCCATCGTCATCTCCAGATTCCTCGGCATTCGCTAATGCTGCCTCGTTCTCCTTCTGATCATCTCCACTGTCCTCGCTATCTTGCTTTGTATCTGCGGTAGCAGCAGTTACAGCTTCTTTCAGCGAGTCTGGTTCATCTTCCGTCAGCTGCACTGGAATCGACAGACGCTCCATTATATCATCGTCAATTTCGTCGTCATCATCGTCGCCTTTATCGGCTTCTATTCGATCAAAAGCAACTTGGCGTATTCCCATGGTGTACTCTGATGGAAACTCGTCTCCTTCTTCATAATAATACTCTGTTGCCTTCTCAAAGAGATCGTATTGGACAATTGTCTTGGTGAGGCTAGGAAAGAATATGATCTTGTCCGACGAGACATCGTAGTACTTTCTCGTGTAGCATATTTCTTTGGCAGCTTTCATGATGGCATCGTAGGACTCTTTCTCCATTTCATCTTCCTCTTCAAAGTCTTCAGACTTCATCATTTCTTCAATCATTCCATTCAATTCAGTATCAATCATGTCTCGGCGCTTTGCAGCTTCCGACAGAGGTTTGGTTGAACGCATCTGATCAGTAGGATCGATGACTTGGTCGTTGCCATCGTCATCTCCAGATTCCTCGGCATTCGCTAATGCTCTCTCGTTCTCCTTCTCATTATCCTCGCTATCTTCCTTTGTATCTGCGGTAGCAGCGGCTTCTTTCAACGCACCTGGTTCGTCGTCCGTCAGCTGCACTGGCATCGACAGACGCTCCATCATATCATCGTCCATTTCGTCATCATCATCGTCGCCTCCTTCCGCTTCTATGCGATCAAAAGCGACTTGGCGTATTCCCATCGTGTACTCTGTTGGAAACTCATCGTCTTCTTCATAATAATACTCTGATGCCTTCTCAAATAGATCGTACTGGACAATTGTCTTGGTGAGGCTGGGAAAAAAGATGATCTTGTCCGACGAGACATCGTAGTACTTTCTCGTGTAGCATATTTCCTTGGCCGCTTTCATGATGGCATCGTAGGACTCTTTCTCCATTTCGGCTTCTTCCTCAAAGTCATCAGATTTCATCATTTCTTCAATTATTCCATTCAGTTCAGTGTCAATCATGTCTTGGCGCTTGGCAGCTTCTGAAAGAGGCGATGTGCTTACCTCTGGTGCAGTTCCTTTATTAGAGGAACTAGGGCTTGACTCGTCCGAAGCAGCAGTCTCGGTGGTGACTTCATCATTCTGGACTTCAGGCAAAGATGCTTCGTCGGTCTCCCATTTGCCAATTGAATCCATAATTGCTGCCTTTCGAACGGTACTGGCTTGGCGTCGAAGACCCAATCGTTCCTTGATATCTTCCTCAGTGACAACAGTTTTTTTTACCGGTGCTTCCTGTGCTTTGGTAAAAGAAGGTTGTTGCCCCGGTCCAAACGCTTCGAATTGAATGCTTGCATCAGCACCCAGGTTGCTTCTCGTCCAGACCATGGTTTCTTCAGATGCGGCCATTCGCTTATCCACCAATGTCGATGGCCGGGCTGCCTTCTTTTTGGTTGATGATTCGCCAATCGAAGGCAACACCATTTTCTCACCTTCGTTTTTCCCGATCGAATCCAAGATTGCCGCCTTACGAAGGAAGCTCGCTTGGCGCCGCATACTCAGTCTCTGTTGAACTTCTTCTTCGGTCACAGCTGGTTTATTCACTGGGGCATCTTGCTTCTTGGTAAAGGCGGGCTGCTGTCCTGGACCAAAAGCTTCGAACTGAATGTTTGCATCAGCGCCAAGGTTTCTGCTGCTTCTCGTCCAGACAATGGTTTCTTCAGATGCGGCCATTCGCTTATCCACCAGTGTCGATGGCCCCGCTGCCTTCTTTTTGGTTGATGACTCGCCAATCGAAGGCAACACCATTTCCTCACCTTCATTTTTCCCGATCGAGTCCAAGATTGCCGCCTTGCGAAGGAAGCTCGCTTGGCGTCGCATGCTCAATCTTTGCTGGACTTCTTCTTCAGTGACGGCTGGTTTCTTTACTGGGGCATCTTCTTTTCTGGCTGGTTTCGTCGGTTGCTCGGGGGCAGAAGCCACAGCAGCTAACATGCTTGCATCATCCAGACTTCTGCTGCTTCTTGCCCATACAAATGTTTCTTCAGATGTGTCCATTCGTTTATCCACCAGTGTCGATGGCCGCGCTGCCTTCTTTTTGGTTGATGACTCGCCAATCGAAGGCAACACCATTTCCTCACCTTCATTTTTCCCGATCGAGTCCAAGATCGCCGCCTTGCGAAGGAAGCTTGCTTGGCGCCGCATGCTCAGTCTCTGTTGAACTTCTTCTTCGGTCACAGCTGGCTTCTTTACAGGAGCATCTTCTTTCCTGGCTGGTTTTGTCGGTTGCTCGGGGGCAGAAGCCATAGCAGCTAACATGCTTGCATCATCCAGACTTCTGCTGCTTCTTGCCCATACAAATGTTTCTTCAGATGTGTCCATTCGTTTATCCACCAGTGTCGATGGCCCCGCTGCCTTCTTTTTGGTTGATGACTCGCCAATCGAAGGCAACACCATTTCCTCACCTTCATTTTTCCCGATCGAGTCCAAGATCGCCGCTTTACGAAGGAAGCTTGCTTGGCGCCGCATGCTCAGTCTCTGCTGGACTTCTTCTTCAGTGAAGGCTGGTTTCTTTGCAGGGGTTTCTTCTTTTCTGGCTGGTTTCGTAGGTTGCTCAGGGATGGCAGCCACAGCAGCAGCCATGCTTGCTTCAGCATCCATATTTCTGCTACTTCTCGTCCATACAAATGTTTCTTCAGACGCATCTAATCGCTTGTCTACCAGTTTCGATGGAAGTCCTTTCTTCTTCTTTCCAGAATCCGAGGATTCACCAATGGGAGGCAAGCTTTCTTCTGTCTCATGTTTGCCAATTGAATCTAGAATTGCTGCCTTTCGAAGGAAGCTAGCTTGACGCCGCATTCCTAGTCTCTGCTGCACTTCTTCTTCCGTGACAGCTGGTTTCTTTGTCGTAGGTTCTTGTTTTTTCGCCGGCGCCGGCTGTTGTTCAGGCACTGCAGCCATCATAGCAGCTGCCATGCTCTCCTCTGCATCCTCAGCATCCAAATGTCTGCTGCTCCGTGTCCAGACAAAGGTTTCTTCCGAGGCGTCCATTCTCGTGTCCTTTAGAACCTTCGTTTGGCTTTGCTTCTTCTTGCTGGCACTAGTGCTTGACGCTGGCAGATCCACAGGCTGGGACAGTTGCATCATCATAGCAAACTCCACTTCTTCCTCCTCGCCATCACTGTCATGATATTCCAGGCCTTCTGCAGCCATCCTTGCAAAGGCAACTTTCCTTAGAGCCATGGAATATTCTTCTGGGAACTCTTCGTATTCTTCCTCGTAATATTCATCTGCCTTTTCAAATAGACTGTTGTCTTTCATCGTTTTCACAATAGAAGGAATGAAAATGGCTTCGTGCGTCGAGACATCATAGTACTTGCGAGTGTAGCAAATTTCCTTGGCTGCCTTGACGAGCGCCTTGTGTGCGAGAGGTTCCATGTCAGTCTCGTCTTGAAAGTCCCTCGATTGCAGCATTTCCTTGATCATACTCTTTAGTTCCTTGTCAATCTTCGCTAGCCGCATTTCGCTTTCTTTGTTTGCAGCTTTCTTTTTTGCGGCCGAGGACATGGGATCCGGCTCGTAAAATTTCTCGAGCGAGTCGAGAATCGATGCCTTTCGAAGGAAACTTGCTTGACGTCTCATTCCCAATCTCTGTTGAACTTCATCTTCCGAGACCGAGTGGTTCTTGGATGGCATCGTCTCTTCCACCGTAAAGGTATCAGCAACTTGAGACGAGATGACAGCATCGGCTATGGCACTACCCCGCTTCCATGTCAAAGTCGGACCAGTTGGTTGAAATGGGGTTGTCTCTGATGGCGTCTTTTTCGCAGAAGCTGTGGTGGTCAAATCAACTGGCTGAACAGTACCTCGTTTCCAAATCAAAGGACTTTCTGGTGTTTTAGGTACAGCAGCTGTGGTTGCCAAATCAACTGGCTGAACAGTGCCTCGTTTCCAAATCAATGGACTTTCAGGTGTTTTAGGTAAAGCAGCAGGCGAAGCTGTGGTTGCAGAATCCACTGGCTGAGCACCACCTCGTTTCCAAATCAAAGGGCTTATTGCTCTGTTTTCGGATGTGCCCTCCTTTGCGGAAGCGGTGTTCGTCACTGCAGCTGCCGGGGCACTACTCCGCTTCCAAACCAATGGCTTTTCGGTAGGTTGGGATGATGATGATGATGATTCTGTGTTCTTATTTTCATTCTCCTCGGAAGCAGTGGTCGTCTCGGAAGCAGTGGTCGTCACTGCAGCAACTGGATGAGAAAGACGCATCATCAGCTGATCATCTAAGTGCTCTTCTTCACCATCACTATCATCGTAGTCGTGGCCATCTTTTGCCATCCTTGCAAAGGAAACTCTCCGTAATCCCATGCAATATTCTTCCGGGAACTCTTCAAAAGGGTCCTCGTAATATTTGCCAGCCAACTCGAATAGGGAATTGTTTCTGATAGATTTGAGTAAGCTTGGGAAGTAAATGATCTCATCCTTTGAGATATCGTAGTATTTGCGAGTGTAGCAAATTTCGTTTGCTGCTCGTACGAGTGCCTTTTGGGCTTCCGGTTCGATATCCGATTCCGCTTCAAACTCCTTGGTATCAATCATTTCAGCTACCATGCCCTGAAATTCATCATTGAGCCTTTTCTGAAGCATGACAGCCTCCTCTGACATGCCTGGTGATGACGAAGGCATGTCACTAGAATCAAGGGTTGCGTCGCCTTGGGGGCCTTCGTTTGTGTTACCCATCTTGTTACGCAATCACTGAACCAACAAGATCGGGCACTCGGATCGTAACCGGTACCGACAGGTAGGATATCCACGAAATCCAGCTTCCATCCAAGAACGTCAGACATAAAACCGATACCTTGAATGACCCTCACCTGCGGGTTATCCCTTTGCGACTGGCGACACCCGCACACCAAGTTTGTCACGGGGAATTCAAACTTTCAAAATGCTTCCAACAGTTTACCTTCGGACAGACCTTGGTAGTTTTGTGTGGCAGCTGGACGATGGTACAATAAGATGCACGTGCTGTACGCTGTAGGTGAAAGGCCTATTTGGGTCGGCTCGCTCACCTGCCTGGTTGCCAAAAATCACAACGACAAAATTTTCAGGGAAAAGAAGCTCAGGAATTCAGCGAGAGGTATGATAATAATATCAAATGTGTGTTTGCTGATGGATTTATTGTAGTGAATACCATGAAGCGATCAAGAATACAACAGCAGAGATACCAGGTAGAATATCATAGGTCTGCGTCTGCACCTCCAGATGTTCCGCGTTCTCCCTATTCACGATCCTCCTCTTCCATGTCCTCTGAACCAAACCACAAGAATTCGACTCATCATAATTCCATCGATGACTCATCATTTGAAATTTTGCCTCCTTATTGCTATTCTTTCAAACTCTTAACAATATTCACACTACTAGGGATAACACTTTGGACATTGGGGCATCAGACCGATCGATTTAGAATGGAACGTACAGGCACTATACGCGGCGGGCACACATCATCGGAATCGCAAGACATTAAGAATCATCATGGAACCCTGCTTGATAATACTGCCGACAACAATAATCGAAGGAGGAGTGTTGCCATTGCACATATCGGCAACAGTATACAGTATTTTAATGACTGTCCCCGAATGCTGGAGCACATGATGAATCAGCGCTACGATGTCACACAGGATTCCTGTTTAAGGGGAGGCGCCAATGTTACTGGATTGTTCGAAAAGGGCAATGGGATGCGGAACAAGTTTGCCACACCAGCTGCACTCAAGCCAGATGGCACCTACGATATTGGATCACCCACTGTGGAAGCCTTGTTGTCGTCATCACCACCTGATGCTGAGGAAAGCAAATGGGATTATGTAATCATCAACGATCATACCCAAGCACCCGTTCGAGAAGCCAACAAGACGGAATCCATTCAGACTTTTCAAGAAAAGTACATTCCTCTACTTGACAGTAACAATAAGAACGCTACCGTGATATTGCTCATGACAGCAGCCTACAAGTCACCGGCCAAGAATTCCAGTGATTTGGGCGATTTTGACAATTTCACAAAATCCTTGGTGGACGGGTATGCCGAATATGCCACGCTCTTTTCCAATGCCAAGATTGCCCCACTGGGATTGGCCTATCAATACATCAGGGAGCATAACCAACGAGCCAATGATCCTACTACTACCTCGGAAGCTCCATCCGCCGTAGTTTCTTGGGAAGCCCTGTACGCGCCAGATGATTTCCATCCAAGCCCACATGGAACCTATCTCGAGGCTTGTTTGCTATATTGCACCATCACTGGACAAGAACCACCTGAGTACCAGGTTGGTTGGTGGTCGACGGCGCGATACATGCAACCTCCGACCGTACAACCACCGATGCCACTTCCAACGGTGGAAGAAGCCGACTATTTGAAAAAGGTAGCATCCCATTTGTGTAACATTGCACCTGCTGCTGGAGCCACTAGCTCTCTGTAACACTATTACTACTGCTACTATTACTACTGCTACTACTACTACTACTATATCCCTGTACCATTATTCTACTTCTGCCGTATTGACAATTGTAATTTATACAGTAACTTGTTTTCAATTTAGCTTAGCTTACAACATTGATATAATCTTCGGGGCTCTTGGCTTCGCAATATGCCTTGATATTGTCACATGTCATATCGACCAATCGCTGTCGGGTTTCCAATCGTCTCCAACCAATGTGTGGACTCAGCCAAACATTAGGGAGCTCCCACAATTCAGAGTCCATGGGTGCTGGCTCGGTAGCCGTAACATCCAGTCCGGCTCCAGCAATCACACCTTCCTTGAGACAGGCAATCAATTCTCCTTCGTTGCAGACGGCACCTCGCGAAGTATTGATTAAATAGGCACTTGGTTTCATTTTGGTCAATTGGGCACGCCCGAAGGATCCCCGGGTTTGGTCGTTCAATGGAGTGTGCAGACTGACAAAGTCGGATTCGGTCAAAAGATCTTCCAATTCCGACACGACCTGGACCTTGGGATGATTGGCGAGGCGATGATCCTGAGGCAAAGTTCCACGACGGCTACTAATAATGACATTCATTCCCAGTGCCAAGGCAATATCGGCCACCTTGCTTCCAATCATACCACCGCCACCGACCAAACCAATGGTCTTGTTTCCCAATTCCATCAAGGGCAATGTAAAGGGACCAGTAAAATTGGATCTGTCTCCCTTTTGCAACATGGCTTGTTGTTCAAACATGTTGATGGAAAGATTCATAACGTAGGTAATGGCCATGTGTGCGACCGCTTCGGTCGAATAGGTAGGAATATTGCAGACGGTAATCCCCTTGGCTTGGGCGGCTGGAATGGGAATGTTGTTGTACCCCGTGCCTGCCTCACATAAAAGCTTGACGGAGGATGGGAACTGTTCTACGCATTCCGCTGGTACTTTCATTTCTTTGGTAATGACAATTTCCGCTTTGGAGTCAGTGACCAGTTGAACCAATTCTTTGGGATCTGTCACATAATCCGTGTCATTTCTGTGAAAATCGACAATTTCAGCCAGCTTGTCAAAGTTGAGCTTGCGGTCGCTTTGATGAAAAGGCAGGAGAGGTTTTGGTCAGTTGGTATGTTTCGATTGTGTTGATGACGAAGGAATTTTGAAAAGGAAGAGAACAAAGAGAGCATGTCATCCTGCATCATCAGGGAAACAAACAAGGGCGCAAGTGGAAGTGCTATTCTGATAAAATCTCCCAAGATATGCGGTACTTACTAGTCGAGGCGGGTACAGTTGAGGAAAATGGCGGTTGGCTTTGCCATTGTTGATAGAATACGAGAATGTTGTAGTTGTGGGATAGTTTTCTTGGCGGTGTATCGAAACATGGATATCATCCCCACCAACACCAACCTCGGGATGAGAAGACTTTGAAAAAGTTGATGTTTTGATGATAAGGAAGTTCAAGTGGATCCTCTGATGATTGCCAGACGCTGACTCGAAGTGATCGATAAGAAAGTAGTCGAAGAAATCAATCCACAATCGATCGTGCTGATAGATATGATATTCAATATTCAATATATGATGTGCGCGCTTGCATGATCATGCTCACGTCTAGCTACCGGTAGGTAATATTGTAGTAATTACTTTTGCACAAAATTACTGCACCTGTACAGTTGTACTTCGCTGCATGGTACCTTGAATGACCATTGTCATTTTTCTTCCTGCTGACCTTCAAACGATTTCCATTCCCTATCATCCGCTACCGGTACGTGTACCTGGTACCGGTATCACACAAAACTGGACAGTTTTCCGGTCTGAAGAGCGTCAATCAAATACCGTCGCGCAAGTGTGCATAAATACAAGTTAAAAATGATATATATAACCTCAGAATGCCGGTGAACTTTAAAACTAACATACTTTCACATATGTCAATTTCGGGAGTCAATCAAACACGCCAAATAAGTAAATACCGGTAAGTTTCAATTGATATATATGCTCTCGGTTCCCAGAACGTTTCCCCGGTTCGGGATTTATGCCTAGTACGAGTCACAGAAATAAATGTTGAAAGACGATCCAGTTCGCTTCCAATAAATGCTTTCAAGAAGTATGCAATTAGCGGCACCTTTTCGTTCCCCATGGTTCCGGAATGGCCAAAATTAAGCCCCTCGTGCCATAAGTGATTCACAATCTTCATCGCCCAGAAACTGGTCAAAATTACAACGAATGTCCCCGTCCAAGCGTATGGTGGAGTGTAAAGTGCAAATCCAGCTACAAAACCTGGCAATATAAACGATGGATCAAGCTACTACTACTAATACTACCGCAATGGCCAACAGAACTGCACCACAGGAAATGCATATCAGTGAAAGAAGTGAGAGATGTCCTTTGGAATCCTTTCTAAAGTCCAAGAGACTGAAAACGATGGGAGGAAAAGGGCATACCAACAACAACAATCGTGCGAAACGTATACCAGCATTGGATCTCAATGACATCAAGATTGGTAGCCGAATAGGCAAGGGATCCTTCACCAAGGTTCATGCTCTATCAAGTATCAGCAAAAGTGCTCGCAAGGCCATGCTGGAACGATCCCAAAAACAAGACTCTGATAACAACAATGGTAACGGTAATAATGGTAATGGCAATGGCAATGGCAATGGCAATAATAACCATCAGTTTGTGATCAAGAGGTTACGAGTCAGTGCCTCATCCGCAGGCGAAACGGCTCTCCACAAGGCATTTCATCAATTGATTGGTGAAGCCAATCTCTTGGCTCAGTTGGATCACCCACAAATTGCAAGGCTTCGGGCATTCATCTCCACCAAAGGTGGAAACACCAATGCTCAGAATGGCTTTGCCCTAATTGTGGATCGATGGGATTGCACCCTCCGAGAAAAGATTCATCATTGGACAGTCAGATCGGATACACCCAATGACGACGCGACCTTTGTTTCCGAACGGCTCTGCTATGCATTGGAGCTTGCGGAAGCTTTGGAATACCTTCATCATCGCCGGTTGATCTACCGGGACTTGTCCCCGCGAAACATTGGTTTCAAGGATGGATCCGTTCAACTCTTTGACTTTGGACTATGCCGACAACTTCCCAGCAAAAGTAAGGCCACTGGTCCCGATAGAACTTACCACATGACCTATGCTGGTACTGCTCGGTACCTGGCACCAGAAGTCCACAGGCGCACCGGATACAATCGCAAAGCTGATGTGTACAGCTGGGCGATGGTCTGCTACGAAATGATGTCCTTGACGGAACCATACTATGGTATGAGTCGGGAAGAACACTTTGCCGAAGTCTGTGACGAAGGCTTCCGACCATGCATGGACGATTTGCCAAGCTGTTCCGAGTTGGAAGATTTGCTGCACCAAACCTGGTGCGATAACATCAGCCAACGTCTCACCATGAAGAAAGTTTGTGCAGCGTTGGAAGACATTGTATCCTCCATTGATCCAGAAACAAGTACCTTGGTTTCTGGTGGCGATGATGATGAATATGAATATGATGACAAGCACGACTCGCATTCCACGTTTTCCACACTGTCCGATTACTCCTGGTTGACAGATGACCATGATGACGACGATGATTCGATGGAAATTGAGATGGAGATTGATTACGATGGTAACTGGCAGCATTAAAGCCAGTACTACTACCGGTAGTGAAGTACAGTATGCATTCTTCACGAACCCAGGCAATCGAGTCAGTCGCTTGATTTGATTTCGCTATCTATAGAAGGCTTTCTCAAGGAGGAGCGAAACATGAGATCTCGCTCCTTTCTGAACAACGCCAAACCCGTTTGTATTAGTTTAAAAAATGTGATAGAAACCCCAATTTACAGTTCCATAGTTTACAGCTTACAGTTCCTTATTATTGCCATCATTGGTCTTTGTTTTCTTGGATGATTCTTCAGAGTTATTATCCCCGCCCTGGACGTTTTCCAAAACTTCTCGCAGACGCTTGGAGCGAACGGCAGCGAATTTGATTCCATCTTCGTACCTCATAAAGGTGTCAAGTCGTGTCTGCCGCATCGTTCCCGTTTCTTCAATTCTCTTGAGCACTGGTTTCAACAAGGCATTGGTTTCGGCTGGTGTCCATCCAATGTTTCGAGTGCAAAAGGAAACAAGACCATCCAGATTTGGGACCCCCCACGAGAATGGAGTGTCAGACTTGTCCACCACAGGATTCAAGTAGGCAGATAAAACTCGAGGGTCCGGAAAATGTTTGGGTGCTTCCCAACGAGTCCGAGCTGTTCGATGCTTTCTATTGAATGCTTCTTCCTTTGTCAGGTTGTTCTCTTCCTTCTTTTTCTTAAGGGCGTCTTGGCCGTCAAAGCCATCTAGCCACTGCCGGAATCGTTTCAGATTGTTGATATCCTGAGAGACTTCAAAGGCCTGAATAATCTCCATTCCATTGACAATGCCCACACCATGCACTCCTTGAGTATAGTCACCTCCCAGTAGTAGTGCCAAACCAACCATTCCATCACGGGTCAAATTCATCTCTCGTTCCGCATCCTCGGTATTGTAGATTTCCACATACTTCTTGTCATCAAAAATATTCTTGTACACATGCTTGCCACCAAAAACAAAGGCATCGCTATCTTGCGTGACAATACCGTCGACTAGACCTAGCTGTTCCAGCATGACACATTGGGATTCTGCTTCCGCGGGTGCCTCGACAAAGGGAACTCCAAAAAGATGCAACAATTGCATGATTTCCGCTTTCATTTCGTCAGTAACCGTGTCCATCATATCGGTAGACTGAGTCTCACGAGAGGCAAAGGCAGCCATGTCTTCCTCCATTTGTTGATTGGATGTCATGCCATCTTGACTACCATAATCAAAGTATGGACTAGATATTGACTGTTGGCCGTCGCGTCCTCTTGTTCCTCGATCGGCTTGCTCTTCTGCTTCTGGTGCTGCTCTTTGAAACTTCAAAACTACTGGTTCATCATTGTCATTGTCATCATCATCATCATCATCATCCGAGCTATCCTCCTCGATGGTCACCTTCTGCTTTGGTAGGAGCGATGATGGTTTGGATGCTTCCGGTACAACAGTGCCACTTTCTTCGGCATGCTGGGCAACCGCTTTCCGAAAGGCACGTCCAGCCCAATTGGTTCTGAATCCAAACATAAAAAAAGAGAGATTGGTTAGCTGCTGATTCATTCACAGTCCAAAATATACTTCTCTCTTCAACAAAATTGGACTTACAAGCGAGAGGCTGTATCTTGGGCATGTGTGAGTGCTTCTGACACCTTTGCGGACTTGGAAGATCCCATGTCCCAATCATTGGTTGCAGTACTAGCAGGCAACTCATCAAAATCGTCATACTCCATATCATCTTTCTCCTGTTTCTCATGAGAGTACGAGTCAGAGTTTGTATTCGGTTGCGAAGCCAACGGCTCTTGTCTCAATTTCTTTCGTCGTTCTTGTACAACAAGACTATCATCTTTGGCACACTCTTCATTCTGCGGTCTGGATCCATAGTCTCCATTCGAAGTATGCGATTCTGCAGCATCGGACGATATTTTCTCATTTGCTTGATTGATACCATCATTTTCCAAGCCTCCATCTTCCCAATCAATGTCGTCGTCGTCTTCTTCGTCATCACCATCATCGCCATCGTCATCACCACCATGTGATGATGAAGCTATTGGAGCTTTTGTGCTGGGTACCACAGATACGCTG